GTTTCCCTCTAAACCATCTAGAGATGCATCATAACGACCCACTGGGTTCATTAAAGATTAGAGCGGTGCTGATAGGTGGCTTTCTTCAGAACCCGGTAGCTCCGGTTCACTTCCTGTTGTCTTTTAGACATCAGGCATGATTGTTGGAGGTTTGGGAAACTTTGAGGATGATGTGGTTTGTAGGCTTCTGCCACAGGAAGAGGGTCAGCTTCTATGAGTCTCGGCTCAGTTTCAGGGAGCCAGCTAGTTCCTAACTGGCTCTAAGATGGAGCAGGAGATGGATAAAAGGATCAGAGATCGATTTGATTCAGTATCAGTTTCCTAACCCAACGATTCGATTATTTTCGATACTCAAGATTACACAACGAAACGATTCAATTCGATTAATTGGTTCTTTTTTTATATTTTTTTTAACACCTTACAGGCTAGACAATGTTTCAAATTTGAAATAAATCAATGAAAGCAGTAATATCATTATGCATTTTTTATTCAGAAACAACAGCAAATAACACAAGTAGAAAAGTTGCACTCCACCTATTCCTATTAATACCTCAGTCACTGAAAAATAGTTATACCCCTGCATTATAGATTCTGAAAGGCTTTGCATCAAAAAATACTGCACATAATCAGTGCAATGAGTGCAATTCAATACCTCGGCTCCAGACGTCCCCGCCCCCTCCACAGACGCTCCGCTGCTCCTCTCCCAAATTGTAACTGACTGCAAACAGTGCAGCAGACAGGAGGCCGGCTTGTTTTGTTTTTCTGACCGAAATTGCAGAAAACAACTCGTGAAGTTTGACCTGCTAGAAGATCGAGGTGCGCGAGAACGCTGGGACCCTTTTTCCACCTGGATCTCCGCTCTCTTTGGCCCTCATGTCCCTCCGTCGTCGGACTAAACTCGCCCCCACTTCCTCGCCGCCTCGTCCGTATCTAGACCCACAGTGTGTAGCACAGACCACGCTTCAATATTTAGCATAATTTAAAAATGTCTGTGTCAAGCTCACTGCAACACACTTCTGTAAGAGTATAACCAGGAAGCGAGGTAGGAGGGCAAAATAGGTTTAGCGCCACCACAGCACGGGAGGGAGAATTACACCCAGGAGCAAATGGATAAAAATAGACCGGAGGACAAAGAAAAACATGAATGGATACTCTTGCGGACGTATCGATGCATCGGATCGTCGGCTGATGGATCGATGCATAGATACAAAGCGATTTTTATTTACACCCCTAATCAGAGCCTTATCTTTAGTACGGAGATTGGCTCTGTGCTTTTGGGTTTGAGGTTCTGGATTTACGGCTCCTTCCACTATGTGACCGAAAACAGGGTAATCAGATATGGATGATGAACGAGCATCTCTGTCACCCTGCTGGACATCAGAGTAGGGTTGTTGCTCATTTGCAGCAGTAGAACGTGACTACGTTTTTCTGACGTTGTTCCCTGTTCTGGACCCTGATCTCTGAGGGAAACGGACTCAGTAGCGATATGAGGACCGTTAGGATCAGTGTTACTGCAGATTACAGCCTAATGAAGCATCAGACCCTTCAGCCTGAGCTTTTAGCTCTGAGCCGTCTCCTCCTCAGCAGCACTCAGCCTCCTCTCCATCTCTATAACGACATTAGCCATCTCATCCTCTGCCATAAAGCGTATTAGCAGCAGCTGGAAGGGCTGCAGCTTCTTTCCTTCACGTCACTGAAGATCATTTTACATCATCTGCTGCTGTTCTTGTTTTCTCTGTTAAAACAAGCTGGCTGCTGCTGATGCAGACATGTTTGTTCTTATCCTGAACCTGATGATGGTTTGGGGGGGTAAAAAAGAAAAACCCCCTCAGGACCCAGACAGCAGCTGCAGAACCAGAACATGCATCATAATGCAATAAAATGTCAGAGGAGTATCTGATGAGCATCGTTTTACGTCTCCAGAGTCCTGTGGAGGCTGATGGAGGATAAGAGCAGCAAGCAAAGAGCCCTCCTCTCCCTCCGGGCGCTTCCAGACACACAGAACCAATCCAATTCTATAAAGAATGACCTGGGCGGTGTGGTCTGTTTATTCCTGATGAGCCTTCAAGAGACTCACTAATCTAAGCTAGCTAAAGCAGGCCTCTGGTAGGATGGTAGAACTTAGATGATCCTGAGCTTCATTCAGCCCAGGATGGATTTCTGCTCTGATTATGGCGCTGTGGTTAGCACTCACTTCTGAGGATTTGTGTGTGAAAAGCTAAACGAGTGTTGAGTGAAGGGAGCCTCCGCCGTGCTCTACAGCTCATGTCAAAGCTCAGCCTGTTATAGTTTGCCAACAGAAACAAATCTGCCTTCCAGGATAATCTGTGTTTGACACGGTCTGTGTTTGTGTTTCTATCCGAAATGAAATCTTTTTACTGTTGATATCAGAATCAATTTGGGTTATTTCTGTTTATTTAAGTTGGTTTTAAAGTTTTCATTTATTTTGTGTCCATTAAGAGTCACTACATCAAAAGTACATGCAGACTAAACGGGATCTTAAAGATCTGCCTTAAACCTTGTTTAGCTCGTTCAGCTCTATAACTCATGAGAGCGTCGGAGGCGCCGGCGGAGATGGATCTAGAGTTGCTAGACATCAAAGAGGAACAGGTTCTGTTAATGGAGTTTGCAAAAAGACCAATTAACCTGTCGTCGTAGTTTTCCATTATAGTTGTTCCTCAGTTTTTAAAAATGGCGCTCCCTGGCACCGAATCGAGAAGGACGACCACACAGACAGCCAGAAAGGTATACCAAGGACCAATCACAGCTGCTTTTTGTCTGCGCACTTCCGCTTGAGGTCTGCGCGGGTTTGCGACCATCCGACTCGGTTACAGAACCTCTGCGCGGTGGGCGTGGTCGCACGCAGAGACAGATTTGACGGTTGCAGAGGCTATGCATCAGAAGCATCAATTAGCCTAAGTTTCATCGTGCCCAACCCGGGTTCGAATCCGAATCTGTGGTCCTTTGCCTTTTCCTGTCAGCCTACTGTGGAAAAACACGAGCCACTAGTGCTGTAACAACGGACCTCTTTGTGTCAGTAACCTGTATCATCTCCTTCTTTAGTTTGGTCTTCCTGACCCATCTACTTTCTGATTTTCTGTACTCTGGTCACATGATACAGTAACATAAAGCTTTATTTCATGGTATGATATTCAACAATAATCTGAGCTAAGAGGACTTGTTGATTATGAGTCATATACCCCGTTTACACTACCCTTAAAAAACTGAGCCGAGACCGGTCCGAGCTCAGTAACTGAGATAACTTGTCGTGTGTGAACGGAAACAACCTGAACTGAACCGAGATAGACATAACCGGACCGCGCTAACTGCAGACCAGTTCCCGAGGTGGGTTCGGCTCGGTTTTTTCCTGGCTCGGTTCTCTGATAACAAGAGCGCATGAGCAGAGCGCGTCATCGCCGACTGGCTGAACATGCCGATTCACACTCCATTCCAGAAAGTCGGCTTCCCAAAAGCCGACTTTCTCAAGTACATCCGCGCAAGGTTGCCGTCTTCGCCTGACCCACCGCAAACACGGAAGTACAGCAATAATAATCAAGCATAACTTTCTGAATGTGACGGGCGCTGCCATTTTGATTTGCTTGATTCCCTCCTCCTTCGTCTTCTTCTTCTTGGGTTTTACGGCGGTTGACAAACAGCGTTTGGTGCATTACCGCCACCAGCTGCTTGAGTCCATCCTTCAATCCTAGCAGTAATACCGCACATCGTCACTAGGAGGCGAGGAGTCGAGGAGTCGAGATAACCGAGATAAGTGTGACGTGTGAACGGTCGTCAAAACTGAGCTTGGCCTGGTTACCGATCCAAGCTCGGACCGGTCTTGGCCTGGATCGGTTTTTCAAGGGTAGTGTAAATGGGGCTTTAGAGGCCCAAGAACACAGCCTTGAGGAACCCCATCTGATCTTTGTTCAGCCATATTTAGATCCATCAACTCAAAGTCCAGGTTTATCATTTTAATCATTATGATTTCTGTGATCAGGTGGTGCCGCTATCAGACCTTGCTGTTCACAATTTTGTGGATTTTCTATTTTCATGTCTTTATATTCCTAATTCTTAGTTCTTCAGTCGAGCTCTTTAATTTACCAGCTGTCTGGATGTTTTAGAGATCCCTTATCCAGAACCCGTTTTCATTCTGGTTTTGTTTTGAAGGTGGAACAGAAAATCTGAAAATCCTGATTAAGACGATTAGTAAACTGGCCTGGATCCATTTTCTTTTCTGGTTCTGGTCGACTGGTCTTCCGTCTGACAGAAACCCGCCTAACTGGACCGCTCTTATGCCATTTTGTTCCAACATCCACTGAGCGATGTTTAGATTGATGGTATCATGGTGACCAGCCTCCATTATCTCCATTAGCCTCTGAACGCAGCAGCATTTCAACTGCCTGCTGGAGAGCTTTCATTTTGCTCATGCTCAGTCCGCTCTCAGGCTGTCTGTGAATGAATGAAAGTCTAATGAGCTTCTGTAATTCTGCTGAAGCTAATCCGTGATTATTCAATAGATTTTAAATGGAGTCAGTAAAGAAAGTCGTTTTTTCTTATTGTTTTAGCTATTTTCTTGCTGCAGATGAAAGCTAAATGTACAGAATATGTTCACCTGCTTTATGATTTTGGTCTTGGTGAAAAGCAGAGGATGTAAAATGAGATGCTCTGATCTGGTGTTACAGCGACATCTGCTGGTCAAACACCTGCACTGGTTTGGTTCTGGAGGACAGGTCCATTTCTAAGGATCTGAATTAATGGAGAGAATTTAAAAGATTGATGTCCCTCATTTAAATAATAAATAAATCCTGATCAGCTGATGAAGCATTAGAAATTGCAGAAGTTTCCTCCTCCTCCAGATGGATGCCAATAGTTTGACCAATGAACACAAAGATTCAATGTACCTACAGTGATCTGATGTCTTAGAATGGCCTGCAGCTGTTTGGGTTTAAGGTTTGGAGCTGGTAGCTAACAGAACTTTTTTCTCTGTGTTTTCTTTGTTTCAGAAGGAGTTGAGCCTTCCCAGAAGAGGCAGTTTGTGAGTACCTGCAATCCTCTGATTCCCACATGGAAATGTTTGGAAAGAGCAACGAGCCAAACGGGTTTTATCCAGAACATGGGTTCTGTGTGGAGCCGTTGCCTGGTAACAGGTGATGGAGGTTCCAGGATGAAAAAAAAAATGCGGTGGAACAGCTGGTCCTTCCTTTAAAGATGATTGTAGATCTATTTATATCAGAGCGGGGCTGCCAGCAGCTCGTTGGTCACCAATAAAGTTCTGCCTGTTTGGATGGGTGAGATCGGATCAGGGTTCTGGAGCGTTAGTCGTCAAGCTAAGCTGAATAAGGCTCTGAGTTGGACGTGTCTGTCTCTGGGGGATGCTGCTCGTTCTGTGAACTAACTGGGTTCAGTTAGAACCGGGTAGGGCTGGTTCTGTCTGCTCTGGAACAGAACCTATGGCTGGTTCTGGTGATCAGACTGGATCCTCTGTCTAGATCTATTTCTTTAATCCTTCCTTCCTTCCTTCCTTCCTTCCGCTACATCTGTGCCTTCCTTCCTTCCTTCCTTCCTTCCTTCCTTCCTTCCTTCCTTCCTTCCTTCCTTCCTTCCTTCCTTCCTTCCTTCCTTCCTTCCTTCCTTCCTTCCGCTCCGTCTGTTCCTTCCTTCCTTCCTTCCTTCCTTCCTTCCGCTCCGTCTGTTCCTTCCTTCCTTCCTTCCTTCCTTCCTTCCTTCCTTCCTTCCTTCCTTCCTTCCTTCCTTCTGCTCCTTCCTTCCTTCTGCTCCTTCCTTCCTTCCTTCCTTCCTTCCTTCCTTCCTTCCTTCCTTCCTTCCTTCCTTCCTTCCTTCCTTCCTTCCTTCCTTCCTTCCTTCCTTCCTTCCTTCCTTCCTTCTCCTGCGTCTGTGTCCTGCCGTCTCAGAGCCGCTGCTGTCTGTGTTTGGATCCATTGTTGATGAATTAGTAGTGAGCTGCATTTAGCCCACCGGGTCAGCGGCGTCCTCAGGCTTCCTAGAAACCAGAACATGGACAGCTGCTGTGGCTCCTCTATCAGGTTTTGTCTTGGACGGGTCCCATGCTGTTCCTAACGTTTCTCCATAGAGAAACTCAGCTAATATTCACCGTTGCTGCAGGATGGTCCAGTCTGGAGCCCTGAGAAGTTCTGCTAAAGGCATCGGTTGATCCAGAACTTTCAATTCAGATTTATTTAAGTTTGTCAAAATTCTTTGTTTAATCTAATATTTTCTCCTGTTTTTATTTGTTGGCCTTTTATTTATTCTATTTAAAGTGATCATTTTATTGGTCTCAGTAGTTTTTTAGTGTTTATAAAATTCTTTCACATTTCATTGTTTTTATGGTAGTTATTAGCATCTCGTATGAAAACATTTTTTTTGTGAATTTGGGTTATGGTGATAATTACAACATTTATAAATGTTCAAAATGTAGAATGGAGCTAAACGCATAAACTAGATGTAGAAGTTTATAAATAATAAATATTAACCAGTTTATCTAAAACTTTTCCATCAGATTACAGTCAAACTGTTCTATGAGGCGGTTTTAGTGAGGAATCGTCCAATCAGGTTTGACCAGGGGTCCGTTAATAAAAGCTGCTCTCTATTGGCTCAGAGAAGGCTTCTGTCCATCCTGTGTCCCCTCCTCCCTCCGTCTCTCTGGAGGACTCAGTCTGTCCTCTGGTCCCACAGTTGAGCTGAGGGGGATTAACGGGACAGCTGCACCCGGGGAATCGCTCTGGTACCGGGTTTACGGCCTGAGGGAAGGACCGGCTTCAGTCTGTCCTCATGCAGCCGCCGTCTCCCCCTGAAGGTCCTGGGATCCATCCTGGGTTTGTGTCTTCCTCTGGATTACCGTGTATGTGTAATCTGCTGAACGTTCTGGATTTTGACTCAGCCACCCGACGGACCCTTTCTCGCCCCGAACCGAGTGTGAGTGACGTAACCGGCGCACGCTGAGGTCATCGCTTTAGGTGCTGGTAGCGATTAGAGTGGCGGACAGATGAGCTGCTCCACACTGCTGGATTAATACAGATTACAGCTGAGCTGTTTGTCCCAGAACACGAGATGAAGAGGAGGAAGGAGCGCTCAGGAGCCCCTCACCTCCACCTCCAGTAAGAGAACCCAGTCCATAGTTTACATCGGGTAATTTGGGTCGGATCCGTGTGAGAACCAAAAGTTTAATCTGTTCCTAAGAGTTCAGAGCAGACGGGAAAAGAGCCCTAATCTGAGAATATTAGCAGGATTTGTTTTGTTTTTCTATTGGTTGATTAGACAGAACCGTCCAGAACCCGGTTTATTTTTAGATCTAGATTTGTCTGGAAAAGCAAAACATAGCAGTGAGAAACAATAGACCCCAGTCTGCATTCTGTTGTCCTCATCCTCTGTCTCCCTGTTTGTCCTTCTGTCCGTTTGTCTCTCTGTCTGGTTTAAGGAGGTTCCAGTTTTTGCTTCATTCATCTCAAACTTTTGTTTCAAAATAAAGAAATTCCTATGAAAGCTGCAGGACCCGAGAACCGAAGATAAACGGGTTCTAAGAGACTAAAATCCCAGATTTTAGAGCCTAAAATCCTCTGAGTTTTGCTGACTCTGATCTCCCGTAGCAGAGGGACATTCAGCAGGTCTAGATGCGGCTGATCTACATTCTCTCAGAGAGGTCCTCTAAATGTCAGTAAAGGTCCACAGATGCTGCTTGTTTAATGTGACCTGATGGGAGACCTGATCCGATCTATCGGAGCGGGAGGCTGGAGATCAACAAATGGGTCGGAACCAGAAGAATCTGAAGCGAAGATAAAACCTCTGATGGCAGACCAGGTCACCTGGAGGTCATAGTCAACCAGACCTGTCCTCACCCCAGCTGTCCATCTACAGAGATGAACCCATCTTACCCGGTGCTGGTACCGGGTTCTACTGACCTTTCAGGTCCGATTCATGCGTGTCCCTCAAGGGAACAGTTACATAAACTTCTGCTCCGTCTATAAATATCATCTCAGCATCACTGTAGGCAGCATTCCGACTCTAAGGTCCGTTTGGACAGAACCACCATGTTGATGTTGTCCAGGGGTTCTGAGACTCCATTTGCATGCTGATATAAGCTGGGCTCAGCTTGTTGTCATGGTAATGTCTCCAAGCTGCTGGGTCTAGATGTGAACCAAAGTCTCTTGGTTGATGCACTTGAAAAATGACTTCAGAGTTTTTAAGTGTTTGAAGTCTGGAGGAACCAACCTGTTTCTGAGAGAAGAGGCGGCACTGAGCCCTCCTTCCCCAGCAGGAGGCTGCTGCCATATCTGTTCCTGCTGGATGGCGTGTCTGAGTTGGATTAAGTTCTGCTGATGTTCTTCATTTCATTCAAAATGTCCTAATTTTAGACCCGATTAAGGTTCAGATCAGGAACCAGAAGACACTGAATGATCATCTCAACTTCTCTGTCAAAATCATCTGACTTTTCCCAGGTGAAGTGAAGAACCATGAGTGTTTGTATTCTGCCGCTTTAGAAGAGAAAGTTCAGTTTTCTCTGATAATCTGAAGAATTACCTGACCATATAATTTATCACCTGTGAACCAAAACAGCTTTATGTCTGAGTACGGTGCTCATCTAGAAGTTATTACCTAGAAAAATAAAGTTTCCAGTTAGAAGTCAGTAAAATGTTCCTTAAAGTTTAGTTTATAGCTGCCGTTCCCGGCCAGTGCCACCAGGGGGCGCCTCTCAGCAACATGAACAGGTTCAGCCTCAGCTTGGAGTCAGGTGTCTGTCCTCCCTCCTCTCTTCATCCTCTTTTCCTCCCTCCTCTCCAGAATCTGGTCACCAGCACAGCTGCGTTGCCAAGGCAACAGCAGCCTCCTCTTTCAGCACCTGCTGTCTCCTACCTCCTTTCATCCCTCTGTCGATCAGCCCTCCTCTTCCTCCTCCCCTCCATCCTTCTTCCCCTCTGACGGCCCTCTCTCTGCCCCCGTTTACCTGCGAGGAAATCCCTTCCTCTGGAGGTAAGAACCCCCCACCTCCACCTGCGTGGTTCCTACCGTGGAAACGTCCATGCTAATGACCCACAACTGCATTTTCCAATTACATTTATTCGTAATTTGTAAATTTGAGGCGGAATTAGAAAGATAGAGACGTCATTCAAAGCAGGAAAATCAGATAAAAAAAATCAGATTTATTAGAAAGTTTATTTTGAGGGACTTGCCGCTTGCTGGGGCTGAGCTAGGCTAGTCCTGCTTCAGGTTTTAGGATCAAACCTTGAAAAGCTTAAAGTAGTGAGATTTTAAATAGCTCCATGAAAGTGACCATATAAGGAATGCTAAGGGAAATGTTTGCTGCTTGTTATAACCAGCAAATATTCTAAGCTGATATATCTACTGTTTTCTCCTTAAGCTTGTTGTTATGCTTTTATAAGACAGACCAGTAAACGTTTTTTAATCTGTACGAAGGTTTATTAGCTGTTTGAAAGCATGAGGACACATCAGAGCCTCAGGAACTGAAAAATCTAAGCTTCCTCTATCCCATTCCTCCCAAAGGATGTTGTTGGTTATCTTAGTCTTATTTTGAAAGCCTGGCTTGGTTGCTTTTTCACAACTAGACTTGCTTTACTAATTATTCCCAAAATCTGATGTTTTTATTTTGAAATTTAAGAACATTCTGTTGTTAAAGGGCCAAAGTTGTCCACTGTCCAAAACAGGTTGAGATCTGGGCGATATTTAATCGCTGTGCTGCAGGGATCTGTTTTGGCTCAAGTCTTTTATTTTGTAGAGTACTGGATGTCTTATCTTGAAAGTCTGGCATGGTTGTGTCAAAAAGATGGGGTCAGACCTCCAGCGATATGGACCCATTTCTAATTCTTTCATCGCTCCATATCTGTGGTATCAACTCAGTAAATGTTTAGTTACTGAAGAAAAGGGAGGCTTTTATTTTACAATCTGCAGTAGGCTCAGTGATAAAAGGCTGTGATAGTCAGGTTTCTAATTCTGGTTGATTTCTGGCGATAGTGTTTAATGCTTTGCTGCATTGACCTGCTGTGTGGAAAATAAAGGCTTTTATTTTGTGAGTAATAGAACCTGAGCGCTATCGCCTAAGAACGCTGATCCAAAACTCCACAGTAGAGCCCAAATAATTAAGGATTTATTGATTATATCAAAGCCGTGTTCTAAACAGGTCTATAGGTTGGACCTCCATGATGTGCACAGATGGATTGTTTCCCAGATGTCTGTTGGGCGAAGTGAAGCGATGAAGAACAGCACCCAGCCTGCTATGTGAAGGCCGGAATATGTATCACGATATGGGCTTGGATCAGCTTTGAAGCATCATCTGCATCCAGAACCTCTGAGGAGGGCCGCTTCCCCGATCCATCCTCACAGGACCGCTGCAGAGTGTAGAATCTGGTTCTGGACCAGATGTGGACCAAAGGACCTGGTACCGGCGATATGTGAATGTGAGCCGATGTATGACCGATCTAAAAATTAGAACTTTCAAAAACGTCTTCATCTAAAATATGTCTTGAAAGTAACTTTGCTGTTTTATCACATTTCATTTTTCACTTTTTTCCACCTCAATCACATGACCTGACAGACGCCACATGACCCTTCTAAAACAAAAACGGCTTTTTTATAGAAACAAGTTTCAGATGATGATATCGGCCCGGTTGTCATCACTGGACTGATCCTGATGCAGATATATCGTATCCCTGCCTGGTTCATTTGGACAACTGATATGTTCCTACAGGAAGATGGGATCAGCTGGCTTACATTTTGGGCTGATTAAATGTTTTCTTTCCTGCACATGTGCCGCTATTACCAATTGATCTTTTTTTATCATTATTATTTTAGAGGAGAAAGAAAAAGTATCAGCAGCAGATCTCAGGGATCAGTGAGACTGATGTCGAATATCTGGTACTGACTTTGGCTCTCAACCCTGCATCAGTGCATCTCTCATTTTATGGGTTTTTACAGCAGTGAGCTGCTAGGTGGCGCTGTGAGGCTGAGGTTGACTGGGACTCTTTAACCAGGTGTGTGTTGATGTTTCTCTGCCTGCTGACGGACTGACGTCGTTTTGTTAGCAGCGTCTGGAAGCTGCTGCATTTTAGAAGGTTCTGAGGGAACCGGTGCTTTGATAACCCAGTGGATCAGGAGCACAGCAGCATCAGGGAGGGAGGAGGCGGTACTGAGAGGAGGGGGGGGATGCTCAGCAGAGGGTTTTACATGCACTCAGTGCAGCTGGTGAGGAAGCAGGCTCCTGTCCGTTGTCACGGCGATGCTTGGTCCATCGGAGCCTCGGCATGTCTGAGTCCTGGACGGTGCTCTCCAATTTCTCCCTTCCAGAGAGGAGCATGCTGCGGCGCTCTGAGAGGTACGGCCGTCTGGTTCCTGCATGTCCTTCCTCTTCCTCACCGGTCTCTGCTGGTCAACCGATTGGCGATGGAAACAGAAAGCGTGTTCTTGCTGTGATGTTGAGTCAGATGTAACTGGGTTGTTTTTATGAAATGTTCCTCCTGACTAGCAGCTCTGTCTGAAGGAATGATCCATATCTGAGCGCTGTGGTTCCCTCAGCACTCTCCTCCTCCAGCTGGATGAAGCCAGAATAGACGGTCTGACAGGAAGGAGGCAGAATCAGAGCAGCTTTCCCCTCTGAAGCAGCAGTTTTCTACCTCCTCCCTATAATAACGGGGACAGTGACGCACCAAGATGCTCCCTCTGTGACAGATTTCTTCTTCTGTGCTCCTGGCGTTCCTGGGTTGCTCTCAGTGGGCTGTTAAAGGAGACGGCTTCACGCTGTCTGGATCCCAGGCTGCTGTTAACCTTCAGTTAATCTGACCGTCACCGATGTTGACCAAGTTTAGCGCTTACGAAGGCAGCTAACATTCAGCACCAGCAGGAAAAACATTTGAACTATCCTCATTGTTTTGATCTGGATGTTTTTTTGTTTTTTTTTTTGGTAATAAACATTTCATCAGTTTTGGTTTTGGATGCACATGTTGCACAAACCAAGGGCCGGATTCTGTAGTATTCTTCTATCAAATCACTGTGAAATGATGCTGTTAGTTTGGAAAAGAATAGCTGCTGAGTTAATTAATCAGGTTTTAAAGATCACTCAGCTGCTCCTCAAATGGGAGCATAAAGAGAACCTGCTGGGCTGCTGCATTAGCCGTTAGCTTGCTGAGGGAGGAGCAGGTCGTCTGAACCGGACTCTGATTATCTCTAAACCCATAAACGAAGCCGACATCATGGGCCGACCCGGCCGTTGGTTCTGGAAGCTGGTTTGTTTATGTTGTTCTTCAGCGGTTCTTAGGATGAAGATCTCTGGATCTGAACTCGTCTGATTGAAGCAGAGCTGCTTCAGTTCCTCCTTCAGGTCATTTATCATGAACAACTGGTGTTTATGATGTAATCCTCCAGAGTGGGAGGGGCTGGTCATGTGACTGAGATGCAGAGGAGGATTGTGGGTCTTTTAAGTGAAGTAGACAACCAAAATCGGCGCCATGGTCGTCTTTAGTATTGAGTGGAAATGGTAGGAAAATATATTTAATATTGTCATCAGTGCATCACTAGCACTAAGGGGACCAGTAAGGCTGAAACAAGCTGTCAGGATGTTCTGGTCTGACTGCATCACCTTTTGTTTCTGTTTGGGTTTGTGGTGAAGATCCTCAGACCTGAATGTTCAGGATGAAGCAAATCTTCCCAATGATCTCAGCTGGAGAGCCTGGAGGTTTTAGAGAGGATCTCAGTAGGATGGAGGATCTGTCTGCAGTCAGCAGATGATCCACCACAGCTGCTCTCTCTGCAGGAATCACCTTGGATCCTCATGCAGAGGATCAGCGGCTGGATCTCCTGATGCTGCAGCCTTTGATCCATGAAGGTGTTGCAGCTCTGCAGCTCTGATCTGGAGCCTGAACCACAGGATTAAACCTGTAAACTAAAGAACAGCATCTCTGACAGGGAACCAGCTCCAGGAACCAGCTAACCTTAACCAGTTACCCTAAGCTAACCATTACTAGAGCTTAACCTAAATTCAGTTCACAGCTCAGTCCTGAACCGGACCTCTGCACCAGAACAGAACCTTTCCTCATGTGCCTGCAGGTCCCAGTAAAGCAGCTCATTTAAGATAACAAAACCAGTCCACCACAGGTTCCACTGTTACTGACTCTGCAGGTCCATCAGAACCGATGTTTGTGGATCTGATCTGTCTTTCAGAACCCCTGCTAATGGTCCTTTTAAGGTCCTGAATAAAATCAGATTTATAAGTGGAATATGAGATGTGCTCTGATCCGAAGATGAAGCCCAGCACTGCAGAGACGCGGTCCATCCCGACAGCCTGCTGTTTGAAAAGGATGATGGTGATGAAGCTCTCCACTCTGTGCTGCATAATAAGCAGCCGGTTCTCAGCAGGGGTCCAAAGCGCCTGCAGGAGGCGGATCAGAACCGTTCAAAGGCTGCTGAGCGGGAGGATGGGTCAGAAACACACTGGTTCTAAAGATCTGGGTCTAAGGAGTAGGGCTGGGTATTTTCGCCAAAGTCCTGAATCGATTTGATTTTGATTCATACAGTTCTAAATCGATTCATTTCGATTTGATCTGTTTTTACAATAATGAAAGTGGTTCAACTGTTTCAAAATACTCATGTATTTATTTTTTTCCTGTCATATTAAACACAAAATGCAAAACTGTCTCAAAAGTACAAACTTGTTTGTGAAAAGCGAAAAAGTGAAGCCTCGCATGAGCAAGCAGACATGACACAGCGGGGACACAGCAGACATGCATGAGAAGCATCATCTCCACTGAGCAAACCATATTTGCAGCTTTGTAACAACTACAGGGTGTTTGCTGTTCAGCCCCCATTTGTTAATGTCTTCAATCAACCTACTGGCTGTATTTGCAGCTATCTGGCTTGAAGTTATCTTTGTGGTCTGTAGCACGAGATGCGAAGCGCCACTGATTATCAATGTAGTAGGAAGTCACCTTAATGTCACATATCCAGCACATTATCTTCAGCTGTTTTAAATCCAAATTGGTTCCAGATGTCAGACTTCAGTTGGGACAGCTTGCTGAGCGACGTGTTACTTGGGTCGGCATTTGCACACACCTGCTCATTTGAATGTGAACGTCACGCTCGTCACTATAAAACTAATCGATCTCATTCCCTACACATCGATTTTGCAAAAATGTAAAAGAATTGATCCAAAATCGATTACATCTATTCTTTTTACCCAGCCCTACTAAGGAGTTGGTTCTGAGCAGCTGGTTCTGAGGAGTCGTTTCTGCCCTTGAAGATTTTCTTTCTACCTCTTTGATCCAAAACCAGTCACTGGAATTGGGCCCAGTTCTGTTCTGCTGCTCCAGGACTCCTCTTCAGAACCTTCAGTCCATCTGAGGTCCGTTTACAGCTAAGTGACGGTCCCTTTAAAGGAACTGGTCCCTCTGGGTCTCTTTGTTCTGTGGTTCTTTTTGCTGTTTTTCAAGCTGCCGTTGACCCGGTCCAGTTTCCCATCATGTTTTATTCTGACATTAGAACCAGCTGGGCTTGATGGAGTCATCAGAACTCCGCCTGAGCTCATGTGTTCGACCCGATCCGACCATAACTCCCAGTGTTATGGCTGCTTGGAGGATAAACAGACCCTCTGATCATGTTGGAGCTTCAGCCCAGTTGATGCCAGAACCCACTGGATCTGTTTCCGCAGCAAACCGGGTCAGATGGTGTCTGCAGCATTTAGAAGTGTTGAAGTGAACCGGGTCAGGCTCTCTGAAACTGCTTTGGTCAGAGCGAGTCTATGAGAAAGTGAGTCCGTGGATGTTCTGGTTCGGGAACTGGATCTGACCGGTCTCAGCCCAAACACTAGCTGCTCTGTGGTTGGATAAAGTAGGCAGGCTATCATGGATCTGTTTGCTGTGATTCTAATGAACACAGGCTGATGTAAGGTCTGTTTATTAGTTTTTTACATTTTATTTGCTAGTTAATTATTTGTATTATTCTGTTCATTATTTTATTCTTTATTTTGTATTTTTTAACGAAAAAGTGACTTTCTGTATTGAAAACTAGATATATTTTTCTATTTATTAAAAAAAAAATATGTTACCAATATTTGTTATTCTCCTTATCTAATCATCAAGAATTTGCTTTATATATATATATATATATATATATATATATATATATATATGTATATATATATATATATATATATGTATATATATATGTATATGTATATATATATGTATATGTTTTTTTTGTTTTTTTTTTTACTTTATATTAAACATTTATATTTAAAACATTTCTGGTGCTTATAATAAGATCATTAAAGACGGAAATAATAAGTTCAGTTAAATCATTAAATAAACTGCTTTTTCAGAATAATTGCAGAATAAATCTCAGTATTTATTATCCTGTGGAAGGTTTGTCCATCCTGAGCTTCCATAGTAACAGTGTGTTAATGTGTGAGGTGACTCAGTCTTCTTGTCATTACCCGATCCGTACCGGAAGCACGATCCGTACCATCAGCTCATTTGCGCGTGCGCAAACAGAATAACTTCCGGTGGCAATATTTCCTTTTTCTTACTCTTTTATTCTTTTGTATTTTTTTTAGCGGCATGGGTTTCTTTTTGTATATCTTTGTATTTTCGTCAATATTGCATTTTCTAAAAATAAAAAAATAGAAATACATAAAAAAGTTCAATCGCCTTGTGATAGTTAAAATATATATTTTTTCTCAAATAAAAAAATAATAGAGTGCATTCACTCTATTATCATAGAGTGCATCAGATAAACGTTACACAATAATATATTCCCAGACTGCTCTTAGCATGTCTGATGATGATGTCAAGCAATACAATGGATTGAATTTAAAAAGCATCCATTTCTTCCAGAAAAGTCTTCAATAATGTCTTTACGATGTAGTTTAGTATTCTTTATTTATATCCTTAAATAATTAAAGTTTTTTCAGTACCGTAATTACATTATTTTTTGGCAACCCGGAAGTTATTCTGTTCGCGCAGGCGCAAATGAGCTGATGGTACGGATCGTGCTACCGGTACGGATCGGGTAGCGACTAGGGTTGTCACGATACTAATCTTTTCAACTCGATACCGATACTAAGGAAAATATTCGATACTCGATACCATTTTCGATACCACAAGGATAAAAACAAAGACTCCAAAATTCTACAGCAATATTTTCATTAATAGATAAACACCATAAAGGTTGAAAGCTGTGTACAATATTAAGCAAGCTTGATAAAAAACTTATAAAATTAAAATGAAGTGTTCCTTCCTTGGCTATGCTTTGCACACATAACAATGACACTAGCCAAACCAGTTAAGAAACAAAAATAATTCTCAGCAGCCGCACCTCTTACAAAAAAAAAGTCTGAAACTGAAAAGTGCGTAGAATTATTCAATCACACAGTGTTCAGAAAGTGACTTGTCTTCTATTCTGCACTTTAAATGAATGACTGCTTAGGTGCCACTGGTGGTGGCACTGTATCGATACTTTTAAAAACGAGTATTGTATCCGGATACAACGTTTCAGTATCGATACTTTTTTGAGTATCGATACTTTTGACAACCCTACTAGCGACACTCATTGCTCAGGACTAAATGAGCTGCAATATCAGGCTTCCAGCCATAAGGTTTACCTTTGAGATGCGTGTTGTTGGATGCAGCAGCCATCAGTGGGCTGTCGACCCCTGCTGGTAGGGATGAAATAATGCAGGGGGTTCACTCTCTCAGCGTTTCTCTCAGAACCTACTGGGGAAATTTGGATTGTATTTCCTGTGTGGCTCGTTGCAACCTTTCCAAATCAGTATTTCTCTAAGCTGAAATTTTTGGGCGGAGTAACTAACCTCCATCTGTCTGCATTCTTAGCTGTCGAGCGAGCAACAGGAAGAGTTTGATTGTGACGTCCAGCACCTCCCCGACTCTTCCTCGACCGCACTCACCTCTGCACGGACACACAGGTAACTGCTGCCTCCAGGCACACTGACCACAGGGGGAGCTGTTGTAGAATCACCTGGCCTCACCGGTGTGTGTTCTACCAGCAGGGGGAGCTTCGTTGTTATTGTGATTAATAAGAATATTGAACCCATTTCCTCTTGGATCTGTTGATGTAAACTTCTGATCACTAATGTTCTACTGTTAGAGCCTCCGCTGACCTATGGAGAGGAATTTGTTCCAACATCATTGAAAGCAAAGAACATGTTTCTCAAAAGGAAATATAAAAAACGTTTCAGTTAAAAATAGCTTTGAGAGAAATATATCAAGTAAATGCAGAAAATGAACCTTTATTATTGTTTTTTTTGTAATACTTTTCCAAATTAGATTTTTTTTTTTTTATTACAAAAATGCAATTTAATCTGCTCAATTATTGGCGCTGCAGATTCTGTTTGTCTGCTAAGTGTGGACGTTAGTGATAGTATTTCTATTGGTCTTGGCACAGACCACCAAGAAGTGTAGAGGCGGAAATCTGTAAAATAAGATTTAAAAAGAATGCAAGTCTTTCATCAACTTTTAGTTTTAGAAAAAAAAAACTATTATTAAACATTTATAAAAATTTATGTTACATTAAACATGTAGCATGCTTTAGCATTAGCATGCAGCAAAGGTGTATTAGCATGTGGTGATGGTGAGTTAGCATGAGAAAATGGTGTATTAGCATGCGGCAAAGATGCATTAGCATGCGGCGATGGTCAATTACCCTGCGGCCAAGGCATTTGGCCTGTGGTGGTGACGAATTAGCATGCGACGAAGTCAAATTGGCATGCAGTGACAGGAAATTGGCATGCGGCGGTGGTGAATTACCATGCGGCAGGTAAATTCGCACGTGGCAATTTGTATTAGCATGTGGCAATGGAGTATTAGCATGCCGCGACGGTGTATTAGCATGTGGCAATGGAGTATTAGCATGCCGCGACAATGTATTAGCATGTGGCAATGGTGTATTAGAATGCAGCGATGGTTATTAGCATGCAGTGATGTGAGTTTAGCATGCGGCAATGATGTATTAACATATGGCGAAGGGGAATTAGCTTGTGGCCATGATGTAATAGCAAATGGCGAAAGTGTATCAGCATGCACTGAAGGTGAATTGGCAGGCGGCAAAGGTAAATAAGCATGGGGTTATGGTGTATTAGCGTGCGGCGTTGGTGTATTAGCATGGGGGATGGTGAATTTTCCACAACAGCTTTATTCTGCTTTTCCTCAGGTGACAGCCGCAGTTTTAGGAAGTAGAATTATGTTACCAAAAAATAGATTTCAGCTGAGAAGTTGCTGCCATAGGCGCTGTCAGCCGCAGCTCAACAACAAACACTCAGTGTTGTATTTGGGTGTGTGTGTCTGTGTGTCAGCATGTGAAAATGTGTTTCCTGAGTTTTTGTTGAATGCTGCTGACAGCATGAAAGACAAGTGCAGAAAACCTTCCAAATCCAGCCTCCTCCATCGTGCACACAGATGATGATGATGATGGATGGTGGCAGGAGGATGATGGAGAGATGAAAGAAAACAACAGAGAGGAAAGTTTGACATAGAACGAAGACAAGCAGCAGGGAAAGGGAAAAAATACAGCAAGCTTTAGAAAATGACATCTTTTGATATAAAAGAGATGCAGATCTAAAAATGTATATATATATATATATATATATATATATATATATATATATATATATATATATATATATATATATATATACACAGGTATTAGAGTGTGTGTATTCATGCTCAGAATATTCAGTACTGCCCTGTTGGTTCTGTTCATACAGACCCAACCATAGCGTACTAGAACAAATACAACGTTGTGGTTTGCTTGTTTTCTGGATTTACGCGACATGTTTGCAGATTTTATAGCATCCAGTAATATTACGCTCTGCTGAAGCTGCAGAGATTGGAGGAGCGGAGCCTCTGGTAGAGCTGCACTGCAGGCAAAGCAGTCTGATGGTTTGGGCAGATTGTAACAGGTCCATTTATATCGATTAATATACAGATAAGCATCTTTGAATTTTAAATAATTTTAGAACTGATTAAATGAAGTATTTTAAGAATCTGCCTCCAGCTGTGACTGAACTTTGCTGTTTGGAACCACTGAGTTCAGTGGAGAAATGAGGGTGGACCGGACCAAAAACCCAAACTCTGGTTCTGTCCTGCAACATGGCAGCTCTGAGGTTCTCCTTCCAGACTGGACTTGGAGGTTCTCGAAGCCACAAAAGGGTTCTGACCCTCATGTTATGAAACAGGCCTAAATCACCATGGTAACCAATGGCTCCCAGGTCCTGAAACTTCAGAGTCATACCTGGAGACATAAACTGTCTGAGAAATGACATGAGGAAAGATGAACTAAGGGTTTGTCTGTTTAAGAGGAAAAAGGACAGAACACAGCAACAGCTGAAACAGAAGGAGCGCTGACTGCAGCGCCACCTACTGGAGGGTAAATCACACGTCCTTTATAGATTAATACTGGATAAAAACACTGAATGTGTTTGTACCAGCCTGGTCTTTACACCGTTTCACTCTTCATCTTTACAGTTTGTTAAAGCTAGCAGGGAGGGAGACTAGTTCTGAGGAGATGAAGGAGTCGGGCGTCATTTTGCTTCATAAAAGTTCGGACTGGAGGCAGAGAATAGATCTTCTATTTTAAGCTTCTTTCATATGTTCTTGATTGAACATGATCAGAGATGATCAGTAGAGGCTGCTGCTGTTTCACTGCGTGCTTTCAGAGGAGTAATAACCTCTCTCCACCCTCTAAGGTGCTGTGTTGCCGTGGTAACGCTGCCATTCGTCCTGCAGTCGGGTAAACCGCCGTGTCCTTGACCCCACCAGGGAAGCAAACACTGCTGATTAAATGTTATATCACTAAATGAGGAGGCTGTCGTTTATTTCAGCAGCACTTTTACCAGAAATCATAACCAGAACATTGGTTCTGCTTTCCTCTCGGACCCGACCACTTCTGATGAGATCCTCACAGAAACCTTGACCACCGCAGGAAGCCACAAGGATCCTCAGCTGCCCTGGAAGCTCTACAGAACCATCCTGGTTTTAGTCACCAGATCCTCATGTGGTTCTTGCAGTTCATTAAAGTTTTCCGCCTTTGGTTCTGCTCACACCAGAGCATTTTAATCAGGTTTAGACCCGGACTTTGACTAGGCCATTGAAGCTTCTTGATTTATTTTCAGCCATTTTGTTTTGGGTCATTTTCCTAGTGGTCAGGGTCAACTCCTCCAAAAAGTATTTAGTGACTAAATTGACCTACAAGGGACCTTAATGTCATCATTAGTCACCTCGGGGGCAACAGTGACCTACAGATGTTGAAAATAAAACCCTCTCTTTCTTTCCTTAATCCTGTTCAATTAACCAGGTGATCAAGACAACGGTAGGAAGTTAAAACAGGATGCTTCCTATCATGGATCCTCTAGCATAGGGATCTCCTGACGTCCCTCTCTGGCACTAAGGAGCTATTGGGTTTCTCACACTGCTCTGCATGACAGGGCCTCTAGGCACTGCCTGCCTCATCTGTCATGTTCACTGGGGCTAAACAATTTATTATTTATTTATTTCAAAAATCAAATACGGTAGCTAAAGCTAAAACTTTACTGTTGCTGTTGTGTGGAAAAAAAAGAAAATGAAAAATCCACTGGATTTTGTTTCCAAGTTTGAAGATATTTCGCTTCCCATCCAAGAAGCTTTTTTTGGATGGGAAGCGAAACGTCTTTAAAGTCCAGTGGATTGTTTTTAATTTTCTTTTTTTTATTGAATGTCTATGACCTGGATGACTGAGAATCTGTGTGCTAGCCACAATTTTCTACTCCTTTCTGTGTGACAACACACCACTTTAAGATTATTACTGCCACCTAAAGGGCTTGAGTGGGAAAGTCACTCTGGTTACATTTAATGGAACCAAACTGAGTGTGAAATAATTGCCTTTTGTTAATTTTGATTATATTTTAGATACAGTTAATTGTCCAGGCTTACTTACTATTCAGGATCTAGTTCTTACTCTTCACCCCATCAAAAGCAAAGGAGAATGAGCTACCTTTAACACTAGTGGGGCTGAGGGTCTGTCTGGGATGTTTAGCTGGAAAAGCAAAGCAATGGAGCTAATCCCCGTACTGGACCCTTCCTGGACCAGGACCTGGACCTAATAATGACCTTAATGACCTCAGTAGATCTTAAGGTTGGATTGTTCTGACAGCCTTTGCCTTCAAACTGCATTCAGAACTAAGAAGCATTTTAAATGAGAGGATAAAGCGTATAGGAAGCAGTAATAAATAGATGATATTCATTGTTTTTGGTAAATCCAAACATAAATCAAAGGCTCTTCCCTGTTCTGCCGCTGTGTAGCTCAGTCTGCTGCTCTCCTGCTGGTTTCCAGTTGGCTCTTAGTGGGAAAAGGTCAGATGGAGACGGGCAGCTCTGCAGGCGCTCTGCCTTCTGATCAACAGAGCTGCCTCTCGTCTTTTTAACAGGAATAAAGGTTATAAAGAATGACAGGCGGTGCTCCTGGCTCCTCCTGTCACCACAAACTGATATTCAGAGATATTTGAAGCTCCTTTCATTCGTGTTACGCCTCCTTCCCAATTATTGCTATATTTTCTTATCTCAGCCTCCCGTTCCCTGGAGGCAGAGCGTCAGAGAGGCACAAAGCTGAAATGACATTAGTATGCATCTCCTGTGCAGGAATACTTTGTGAGATTTGCAGAACTAGGTCACTATCGCTTCAGTTTCTGACATGAAAGGTGTAAAGCAGCAGGAATATTTGCTATAATTACACCTCCTGTAAAAATACAACTGAAACTTCAGCCGGTTAGATGAAGGATAATGCTGCCATTTAATGTTCCTTTGGTTTAGATTGCTTTAAATGGGTTTATAATGGTGACCTGTAAGGTCACTTAGCATGATGTCTTTAAGTCAATGATTAAATATAAAAGTTCAGGTGAATCTGAGGTAATGGTAACTTATTAAAAAATCTAATCATAGTTTAGTCTTCGAAAACTTTGCCTTTGTTTCTGATTTTAGAAAGTAAGAATGATAAATGATCATGAAATATTCCAAGCCTTTGACTCCTCTAGTTTAGATGACCGTGGTAAAGCTGATCTCAAAATGAAATAAAACCTAACATGGTCCAGTTCTGGTTCTCTTTATCAGATGGTTTTAGGCCATTTGTGGATCCAACTGTGATTAATGGTTCTGGATGTTCTGATCCAGCCTCCATTCCCAATGAAGTCAAAGTTGTCAAAGCTGCAGTTCTTTACTGGACTGGACGTCTTCCTTCCACCAAACTTTCTATGAGTGCGCTTGGTCAGAGCAATGACCCCTTTACCTCCTCCTGCTCCTCCTCCAATCAGCAGTCCCCTTCTGACCCAGGCTGAATAAGTTTTAGTTTTTCTTTCTAAGTGTCAGAATTCCAAGAAATAATAGTGTGATAATTCCATGTATGAAGGTACATGTAGTTCTAAAACATCAGTTTTACTTTTTCAATTCACCTTTCTCAGGATTTTCACATGTTTGGAGCTCTGGCTTAATGCTTATAGAAAGAAATTTATTGAGATTTATTGAAAGCAAAAAGCAGGGTTCAGAGAAGAGCATTTGAACAAAGTCTTTTTAAAAAAATGGAACTAATGCATTTACTCTATAATCTTTATGGAAACGTTTAAACGATATTTATACATTTGAAGTTTTTTCACTTTCATATTTGATTTTCTCAAATATTTATTATTTTTCAAAGTTCTTTTTTACTGTCTACTTTCTCAGATTTTGTCTCGAGATCTTAATTTTTCTCCCAAATTTTATTTTCTTTTTGTTATATTTTTGTGGATTTTATTTTTAATCCAAATTGATTTATTATTTTTTTTTTTTATTGCGTTCTTTTTAAATCCTCTCATAGATTTCATCCTGTGCTCTCCCAGGTGGTCTGTGTCTGGACCAATAGAAATGCTGTAGGCAGAGCAGAATCGTTTCTATTGGTCAGCGCACAGCCAATCCAGAAGTGTAGAGGGGAAAATCTGGAAAACAGGGTTTGAAAATGAAGCAGTTCCTAAAATCTCCCTACACAACTTTTAAGATGAAAAAAAAAAAAAAAAAGTAAAGATATAAAATCTGAAAGATAAAAAAAAAAATGAACTCTCTTAATTGAAAAGTTATTAAAGGTAACATTTTAAAAGGATTCTTCCTTTAAATTTCCTTTTCTGAAACGTACCAGTAATATTTGAACAAATTTCTCTCCATATATGTTTAAATGTTGGAGAAATGTTTTTGGTAAGAAGTCCGTTTTATACCATCAACAATTTGATTCGAATTTTTTGTTTGACTGCAGCTGCAGGAATTCTGACTCATTCAGATTTTGCCCCTTTTCTCTGTCTTGCAGGCACCAGCCCACTGGACAGCCCCCGCAATTTTTCCCCCAACACAGCTGCTCACTTCTCCTTCATTCCTGCACGGAGGTGAGCTGCTCATACACTTTCCTTGGTGGCAGAACATTTGGATCAGACCCGTTTCAGCTTGGTTCAGAGAAAAGTATCTGCTTGCTAGAGGATGTTTCTGTGACAGCTGAAGGAGATAGTGATAAATGGCGCCCAGATGGATGGGCTGTTCTCCAGGTTTCACTCTGTATGTCAGTCATTCAGGCTGGAAGAATAAACTCCCGTCTGCTCGTATAGCTCCCACTGCTGACATACTTTTTTTTTTTTACATCAAAACCAGATTACAAAAGTTAACATCAACTGTAAATAAGCCTCATTTGTCCCCCCGGATGTTTCCACGGCAACAGCATGAAGCATCTGGTGTTGGTGCAGCAGAGGGAATGAGGGTTAAAGCAGGTTTAGCTGCTGTCCTTCTGCTCATTTCTGGGACAACAGCGACCCCCAGTGGTGGAGCTCCATATTACAGGAAGACGACCAATGTCCTGCTGTTCATTTAGTCACAAACTGAAGCCAGTGGCTGATCCTGGATCAGAATCCTGGATGCTGATCCGGCATCAGCTGTCTGAACCCGGTGCAGCCGGTGTTGGTCTGACAGAATGAATGATGTGTAAATACCAACCATGTCTTGTTTTCCTCACAGCCACGGACACAGAGCTGACAGGTAAACTCCCCCACCTCCCTTCACCCTGCTACTGCCTCCTCCCTGTCTGAGTCTCTGCATGGCCGAACCTTTTCTCCTTCTCCATGAATTATTGTGGTTAATCCAAAAGAACCAAACCTCTGCTCTCTAACAGCAGCAGTGATTTCAGGAAATCACCTGGAAAGACCTGAGCTTGAGAACCTCTGAGTCTACAGGACCTGCCCGCCTCATCCCGCCTGTGCTCTGAAACCTGTCTCCTGTCCTTCAGCCTGAAGGTCTCTGAAGTCTGGTTTAGAGGAGCAGAGGAAAATCTCCAAACGTTCTGTCCAAATTTAGTCTCAGTTTTCCCCCTGATTTAGTTTGACATTGAGTGTTTAATCCTTTGGTGAAAACAATCCAACTCCAGATCTGTGTGTTTGTGGCTCCTTGGATCCGATGACTCACACAGAACCGGGTCAGAATCTCTGCTCCTCTCAGACCTGCGGCTTCATCTGGACACATCTGCATGTTTCTAGCAAAGGGTTCTGGGTTTTCTGCTGCTGCTAGAAGGACCTGGTTCTGGTTCTCTCTGCAACAAGAATTCCTCTGAAGGAACTCCTTCAGAACCGGCTTGTGGTCCAGTTCTTGGTGCTGTCTAACTTCAGGCTTAGTGTCTGCAGAACCCGAGCTTCAGTTCTGGTTCTGTGTTTCCTCTTTGGATGGATGCTGCGCTGTTTGGTCTTCTTTCAGTTTCTGTTTGGTTGTAAATCCTGACCCTGATTGCTTGATCCGTGTAAATGTCTTTTCCAGGACCGATGGCCGACGCTGGTCTCTGGCCTCGCTGCCCTCCTCTGGGTACGGCACCAACACCCCCAGCTCCACCGTCTCAGTAAGTGTCTCCTCTGTCCATCTCTGCTCTATAACACAGATCCGCTGTTAGCTTTTATCAGTTTAACATCACAACAGATTTCCCTCTAATTATCGATTCAATAAACACAATGATTGAGCTTCATAGTCAGCCTCTTTGTTCTAACCCTGATTCTGGGTCCTCTCAGCTCCTCTACTCCCCGCCAGCAGCTGCTCCTCTGTTTACTTCAGTTTTCCTCTACCTGTTTGGTCATGATAACTCATCTTCTGCAATCGGTTCCCTTCTCCTTTGACCTTTGAACCTTTCATAGCTTTAAAAATTCCTCCTCCCCTCCAGGAACCCCTTTGTTTCCATCTTTTCCTGCTGTAATCTCCTGATCTTCAGCCAGAATATCTCAATGATCCCAGAATAAACCTCAGCTTCATTTAAAAGCTGGACATCCTGCTGTTAAACCTCCACATGGACTGTAGAGAAGATCAGATGTTCTCATAATAGTTCTTCAGAGTTAAAAAGTCAAGTTCTCTGATCACATTCTAACCTGCTGAGCATGTGAAGGTTTGAGAAAGTGTAGATAGAAATGATGGAAAAGTTGAGGGTCCTGCTCAGTTCTCCTCTGATGGATTGTTGACGTTCTTCTCAGTGGAGGGAGCAATAAAGTCTCTAACCATCTTACTTAGAGAATTCTTCATTCCTCCGATGATCTTCTGACTCGTTTAGTTTTAATCCTGTATTTTCTGGTTTCTAAGCCCTGAAACCAGATGTGTCCCGTCCAGGCCTTAGCTCAGTCTGCAGCTGCTCCCCGTCCTCCCCGTCCTGCAGTAGCTGCTGGTTGTAATCTGTGCTCCCTCTGTGCTCCTCCTCTCACAGTCCTCCTGTTCATCTCAGGAGAAGCTCCACCAGCTGCCCTTCCAGCCCACGCCGGACGAGCTGCGCTTCCTCACCAAACACTTCAGCTCAGAGAGCATCACGGACGAGGACGGCCGCCGCTCCCCCGCCATGAGACCGCGCTCCCGCAGCCTCAGGTAGGACCTCCTCTGGTGGATGGAGAACATGTGCAGTGAGGTGGTTGGTTCTGTAGTTCTCTGAGAACTCGAGTCATACGCAGATGGGCTCCACGTAGCTTCGCCTTCCATCAAACCAAATTTCTTAAGTGTATTACTTAAAGTCGTAGGGAAGTCCTATTTTAATTTCAAATCATTCTGGCTTAAGCATGTATATAAATGTACTCTTTATCAGACTACATTGTCTAAATTTCTATTTAAAAAAAATCCTTTCCTTAAAGGGACACTATGCAACATTTTTCAGTTAATTAATGTGTTCCATAACGTTTTGGATGATTAAATGAGTCATTTCAGGTTGAACAAAGGTATTCTCGGCTGCCCTGGTGGTCTGTGGGGGAAATACCGCAATTGCAGGAGCACCGACCCGCACCCACAGGCTCAGAAGTCTCGTGAGAGTCAGTCTTACTTTACGGCCGAGAACTGCTACACCCCCCAGTTAAAAGCATTCTCGTTGCTAGCACAGTGGCGATCCTTGTGCAGTTGTGCTACGTTCACGCAGCAAAAGCAGCAAAATCGTGTCTGCTGCTTCATTTTTGCTGCTTGAACCAGTTAGTTCTGACGCTCTGGCTGTGCGGTGCAAAAGTGTGTCTGACGCGCGTTGGGCGGAGCTTCACTATCCTTTCTCTGCCTTGCAGCTATATTTGCTGTGATCATTTGGAATAAAGTAGTTTTAATATGTGTTTAAATGAGAAAATACACCTGAAAACGTAATCAGTGCCGTCAGTTCATTCAGATTATTATCCTGCCTTCAATATTTTTTCTGTCGGAGCCGCTCAGACCCCCACATACCAGAAGGAACCCCTTCATCAGCAGCCTCTGGCCAGGTCACGTCCTCGCGGTTCACCGCGGCAGCTGGTAGGTGTTTTTCATCTAAATAATCCAAACTGCATATTCTGCCGGCAGATTTCTGCATTTTAAGTTAATTTAGGCGTCAATAAACTGTTTAAGAGGAGAGATCATAGCCTCTGATCATCAGCGCTGTGTCTCTCTCCCTGCTTCAGCTGGTCAGACGCGCTGGGCCTGCTGCTCCTTTGCTGCGCCTTGACGCGCGTCGACCATTGACTTTGCATGTAAACTCGCTGCTTCTGTCACGCCAGCTGCGGTGTGAACGCAGCATTAGTCATTCGTTGCGTTCGCCTGTCTGCTAAGCTCAAAACAACCGCGCCTGGCTTGACGGAGAAACCAGGAGAACAGCTGTGCATATTTACGACAGTGCACTTTTACTTTCGCCCTCTGGGGGGAGCCTCACTGGAAAATCAACACCGGTTGCATAGTGTACCTTTAAACATGCTCAAACATGTACAGCTGTAAGCCTTCTACACCAAACCAAGCTTCTGCCGCCCTGGCGTCCTCTTCCACATCTTCGTCCCCGCTTTCCTCCTCTAAATAAAAAATGTATGAAGGAGGAGACTCATCCACGACCTCTGACACAAAACTCTCCTCCTCTTGCATGTTTCTGTCCATAGTGTTCCTTGACGGTGTCTGTTCTAAGTCACCAATTTAGTGCTACTTGGTCCCAATGGAATTTCCCATTGGGAACCTACTAGCGCTAAGTTGCTAACTGGTTAGCAAGATGCTTCCAACAAACCGGCCACAACCAAATTTGCTTTTGAACCTTCCACCACAACAATCCACCCCCGTGATAATCGACCAATCACATTCACTTTATTCACTCTTGTAAAGTTGGGCACCAGTCGGGAGAATTCAGAAATGCAACCATTGGAACACCCGCTTCCCTACGATGTTAAACTTGATGGATTTGGAACAAAATACAGGACAAAAATAGACAGATTGACCTCATTAGTTTTACTTTTCATCAAGGCACCTGAGCTGCTTGATGAGCTCTGATGGCTCAGTGTGAAAACAGCTGATACCAGATCTACATTCAGGATGTTCTTCTACCTCATTTTGTTGAACTCAAACATATAAGAAAAACATGCTTTTTGGTTGATAAAAGCTTGTTTGATTTTTCACGACAATGCAGAGCAGATCGCAGTGCAATTTTATTTTACTACCTAAAAAGAAATAAAATATTTTCATCTACCCCTTGCAATGCACTCACAGACCACTAGGGGTATGCATAGCTCCAGTTGTATTACTGGTGTAGCTGACTCCCCATAGAGCTTACGATCACCTTATTTGTCTTCATCAACCAACCCTTCAATATCAACCCTTGGAGTGTCTCAATAGGGCGGCACCCTGCCAAAAAATGATAAAACAACGCTACGCTTTTTCTTTTGTTTCTATTTTTCATGTTTATGATATAAATACTGATAAGAGATGGACACATTCTGGGGAATGAAGTCGGTGTGGCTAACTGCTTGGTTTCCACTCTAAATCGGGCCAACCCGACAGGAGTCTTCCAGTTCTGTCGGCTCTGGTGGGAAACAGAATCAGAACCTGGATCCTCTGTCCCATCCTGGACTGATGACGGAACTGAGACGGTCAGAACCTTCTGCCTGAGGATGAAACTCTGTGGGTTTATGTGTTCAGGTTTAGGCTGCCGTCCGTCTTTCTGACTGATGGCGCCGATAAAAGCAGGTTCAGAGCAGAAAGGTCAGAGCTTTATCTCCTGACTCTCACCTGTCCTCCTCCTGTCCATCACTCCGTCTCTAACAGCTCAGATCTTCCTCTCCTCTTCGTCTCTGCTGGTTCTCAGCTCACAGATCAGATATCACTTCCTCTCATCCTCTGGGATGAAAGGAGGCGTGGATAAGGAGCTCTGAGCTGATCCGATGAAAATCCTGCTGCTCCTGCTGATTGATGGCTGTGTGTGCAGCAGCTCCTCAACCTCTGGAAATAAAACACAGAGAAAGAAACGAGAGCAAAAAGGAGAAAAGGCGAAGGAGATGAAGGATGAGAGACATTATGAAGGAAATAATTATGGGGGAGATTATTGGACCGAGGAGGAGCAGGACTAATGATTAGGAGCAGCAGTTTAAGGCTAATTTCATGTTTCTGCTGAACAAAGACACTTTCTGCTTCTCTCTATTTCCCTTCACTGCTTTCCACCCGTTTTAGTTCTGGTTTGATCCGCTTCATGCTCCTGTTGCCTCATTGGACGGGTCTCCCAGAGGGACCGGACCATTTGTCCGAGATGAAAAAAACAGAGCATGGTGTGATCGGTACCGGACCGGTTCCACAGGTTCTGAGACATTCAGTCTGGAGGTTCCTGTAAAGGTTCTGATTGGTGTTCAGACAACCAGAACCAAGAATCCTTCTCCTCCTCTCAGGCTTCCTGTCACGCTCAGTCAGAATCTCATTACCTCAGCCTCTTTACCTCTGTTATCCCCCCCCCCTTCAGTTTGTCCTCAGTCACCGTCTCCACCAATCAGCTTCCTCCGTTCCGCTCTAAAGGTTTCATGGTTAGTAATCCATATCCTCCATCCCTGGTTCAGAAACCTCAGGTCCGGCTCCCAGAACCGGGTCCAGGCATGGACCCAGAGACGTAGGCCTCCAGGCCGTTTCTGTTTCCCTAATGAGCCTTTGTCTGACGGATGCTCTCTGAGCCTCGGCTGCAGATTCATTTGAATAACGACTCAGAAGCAGAATAACAGACATGAGGAGAAAATTAAAGGGGCGTCTTGACGGCCTGAGGCGCTGAATCCATCCTACTTCCCGCTCTGCTTTACTTCCATAAGCATCAGACGGAGACGCTCTGGCTTTGATTGATTGTCCTGCCTTGTAGAGTTTAGAGGAGCTGAGCTCTGATGAAGTTCATCCATCTTCACCATCTTTGTCTCCTCAGATATGCTCATCCTCTTTGCTGCTCCAGGTTCATGTTTCGCCATCACGCTCAGAGAGTTCATCAGCTAACAGAGAAACCAGACCAGAAGAGATGATTAAACGGATCAATAGGGAGGAGAAACAGTCAGAACCCAACAGAGGATTGGTCCCCATGAGGACCGGCTCTCCCCTGAGGTTGGATGTTAGGGTTTTGACCAAGGATCTAGATAGACTTTAGGGTTATTTATGCTTTGGTGACATTCTGGGTTAGGCCATAGAAATGAATGGAAGGCAATGTTAATCCCCATAAGGATAGTAAAGAACCGTGTGTGTGTGTGTGTGTGGGTGTGCGCGCTACCTGCTGGTGTGATGACGGCCTGTCTGACGTTTTCTGTCATCTTCTCATTAAGCAGCTAATTGGAGTCTGAGCTGCTGATGGATGACTAAAGCATTACCTCATCGCTCTCCTGGTCACATGATCTGCGTTTGTGTGTGTGTGTGTGTTGTTGTTGTGTAGATGACTCACCATGGAGCACCTTATTTCTCTTCATTTAACTGTTGGGAATCTTACACGTATTTCCATCTGTTGCATTTTATGAATATATTTATTCTATAAACTTAAACTCCCCCTTTTAAAGGACCAGACTGGTTTCAGGATTAATCCGTCAGATCAGATTCAACTGGATGATGAATCTGATTTTGATTCTATAAAAAGTTTTCTTCTGTTTTGTTGCTGGAAAGTTTTTCTTTTTTTATTAGTTTTAATTTGGTACAAAATCCAAGCTAATTTAGATACTTGGATACTAAAGTTTCCAAACCGGCCGAATGAAAATGCAGCAGGAAAACAAACCCCGTCCAGAACCGGCCAGAGTCTCAGACCTGTTTGTGGGGGCAGAAACCCTGCTAGTGTCACCATGGAGACCCAGAGACTGTACCAGTCCAGTCAGCGGTTCTGGAGTCCGGATTGAGTGCCAATGTTCTCCAAACCTCAGTCAGTGTCTCAGCCAGTGGATCCAAATACTGAGGTCCAAGTAGGTTTCCTGATCAAACCCCTGAAGAAGAAAAGCCCCTCAGACCTGATGAAGCAAACATCCATTTTATTCAGCAGAAGGACAGAGAAACAGGTTCTGCATCCTCCTGAGGTCCCATCTGCTTCCTCTTATTTGATCAGTTTTATCAATTTGAATGCGTTCATGTATCTCAGGTTTTCCTTCCTACTATTCAGAGTTTGCTGCTACCTGCGTGTTAAAATGGTGTTTACTTCCACATGCATGTTGTTTGTACCAGATGTGCAGAACTGCAGCCCTCCATCCTGCTCATGTCTTTCTGTTTGCTTTCAGCCCTGGACGCTCGCCGGTCTCCTTCGACCACGAGATCATGATGATGAACCATGTTTACAAGGAGCGGTTTCCCAAGGTGGGTTCCTGAACCGGCTGCTGCTTTTTCCACATTCCAACTCAAACTCGGTCTTAGTTCCTGATCAACACCTTCCACATCATCCCCCCATGTCACCCCCCCTTTCTTTCCTTCCCTCCCCCAGGCTACGGCTCAGATGGAGGAGCGTCTGGCCGAGCTGCTGGCCTCCTCGGCGCCGGATAAGGTCCGCCCGCTGGCCGACGGGGCCCTGAGCTTCATCTACCATCAGCTGATCGAGTTGTCCAGGGACTGCCTGGTCAAAAGCAGAGAGGACCTCATCACGTCCAGATACTTCTACGAGCTGCAGGAGAACCTGGAGAAGCTGCTGCAGGACGTGAGTCTGAAGCTTTAATGTCTGAGAACAAGAAATCAGTGGAAGTTATGTCTGATCAGGTTTAGGGAACAGTGTCCTCCTTTATTATTGTTCAACATGATGCTGATTACAAACTCAGATTTACTGGAAAGAAAATTTCTGGCACTGAAACACCAGATAATGAAAAACGGAGCATTTTAGCATAAAGAGTTTATTTAACCAATCTAGAAAACAAACACAGAACATTAGAATAAAACTACATTGTAATTAAATAAACTTTTATTGCCATTATTAAGGTTTTACAGTTGGCAATTTTTAAAAAATTTTTCTGCTCCAATCCTTAATAATCCTTAATAATATTAGTGTTGGAAAATAAAATCACTGAAAGTAGAAAAAAAGAAAAGTTGCAGAAAAAAAAAGTCCAGAAGAAAAACATGTTTAGTCTTTAAAGCCGGTTTTGGTTCTAATCCAATGACAGAACCGTCCCATCGGTCCGTCCTTCGATCGGCTCACGGCATGACGCACCGCTCCGTTAACTCATCGGCGGCACGTCGTGATGTCACCTCGGTCAGTTTAGGCAGCAGCTGCCTCGTTATGTTTGACGATTTGGAGCGTTTTGGTGTTTTTGTTGTGACAGTCCGGCGCTGACGTCTCTGTTCGCTCCCAGCGGCCTCTGGCTGACCCTCACACACACACACACACGTACGTCTCCATCAGGACACACACTCTGTCTGATTTTAATTTCACACCCGAGCGATCACTGGAGGCTGACGGATGGTTTACCCCCCGTTGAGCGGGAGGGTTGAAGGTGGGCGGGGAATCGGGGGATTCCTCTGGCCGTGATTGGCTGTTTGGACTCAGTGAGGAGGAGGAGGAGGAGGAGGAGGGTGAAGCCTGTTCGGATGCTTTTGGAGAGTGTGAGAAAGTGGAGGTGAGCACATCTGTCTGGAGGTGCTGCTGCATGATGACATCATCGTTCAGGCGGCGTTAAGCGACGCGGAGCTCAGAGCAGTAGAGGATGTGAACAGGTGGACGCAGGTGCGGCGGTTCCTGATTCTGGTCTGAGCGATGTCTCGCGTGTCGTGGCAGAGGAGGCTGGAGGAGGAGGAGGTGGTGCAGGAGGTGTTGAGGAGGAGCGAGTGGAAGTTGCTGACCCACTGCTTGGAGGAGTCCCGGTTCACAGTTGAGTTCATTTTGATTTGTTTTCCCCTGATCTGAATCTGAGGCTCAACAACTTTAAGAGGTTCTGTTGGTCCTGCTGTGTTTGGGTCGTATCTGTGGATCGACCGGCTCCTGCGGTTCTGTGCAAAAGTTTGAAGCCAAGAGCTGAAGGCCGAAGAAAGAGAAAGAGGTCTGGATCTTCAAAGGAACTTGAAGTGACTGAAGACTTTTGCACAGAACAGAGAGTTTGATTAAAACCTGAAACCATGACGCTTTTCTCTTAGTTCCGGTCCATCCCAGAAACTGTTCTCCTCTCTGCTGCTCCTGCCACGGTTCTGTCCTTTTGTCTGGTTTCCTTATCTGCTCCTTCATCCCTCCTCTTCCTCTCCATGTCATGACCTCATTACATTCCTGGCAGGAGACCGGCTCACCTCTCATCTCCTCGCCTTTTATCCATCCTCCTTCCCTTCCTTCATCCGTCCCTGTCACAGACGGTCACTATGGCAACCTGCATCCAGGCCATGGTCTGCTGGGACCCCCTGTTGGACCCCTTTGGGTCGTAAGAGTGCCGCATACCTGTGGAGATGAACCGCCTGGATCTGTTCAACAAACTTTCATCATAAGAAAGAAGCTTCTTGCTTAGATTAAATAAAATCTAAGCAAAAAATTTAAATCCCAAACCGGGTTTACTTATTTGGTTTCCAATCTGCAGGCATTTTATCGTCCTTTTCATCACCTTTCTGTTGCTCCTCTGGTTCCTCCCTTTGGCTGCTAAGTTCCTGATATTATGGACCAGAACCGAGCCTCTTCTCCAGTTTAGGAAGGTTGTGGGAGGTCTGACTGGGTGCAGTAAAACCCTTTTATCTAAACATTATCAAACTAAAACAGCTTCACTAACCTACTGGTTGGTAGTTGGCTCGGTTGTAGTCTGAGCAAATGGACTGGTTGGGAGGAAGGATCTCTGACGACGACGCTTTGTGCGCCACGGCTGCAGCAGACCATCAACAGAGAAGCTGCACCAGCTTCATCCTCTGTAATCTTCTGTCCAACAAACATCTCTGTTATTATTGGTCAAAGTCATTGTTAGTGATTAACGAGCAGCAGTAGCTGATTGGTTAACTCTGATCAATTCAGGAATAAAAACGCTGCAATTCCAGACAGAACAGGTCAGAGTAGAGGAAGCTCTGTGTGTCGGTGGGAATCTTCATGGCCTGATGCTAACGTCACTGACAGTGGAACGTTTTTCCTCCTTGCTGTGTGTCTGGATCCACCTGGTGAGCAGCTGTGTTATTGCAATGTGAAGTAATGATGATAAACCCTGCCAACAACAGGAGCACTTGATCCTTTTAGAAGAAATATTTTCACAATTTATCTTTTAAAAATTCTAATAAGTTTAATTATCATTTCGTTAAAAAAGATCTTTTATTCCCAAATTAATCTACGTTTCCGTGTAAAATATTTGTAGTTTTTTATCGGTATTCCTCACTGAGGGCAAATTGTAAACCAGTTAAACTCGATATTTGTGCAGAAACGCAGCCATAAGGATGATTTTGGTTTTGTTAATTAAAAGCTCAGATATGTTCTTGCAAACATCAGCAGAACCTCTGAATGGAAGCATGTCGGGTTAAACGGGTGTTTGTGTCCAGCTCCTGTTGGTCGTCTTGGATGCAGCGGCGCTGGAGATGGGACTTCCTGCCTTTACTCCGTGTCTCTGCAGCGTCTCTCAGGCTGGGATTAATTATGGACTCTGCAGAGTCAGTCCATCGCTCTGCTGTCTGTTAGTCACCGATCAGCGGCCACCCTACATGCTCTCTCTAACTCACAGCATAAAGACGGCCCGTCCCCTCCAGCTTTCATTACATTTATAAATAATTCAGGGACCAGGGTTACAGGGCCCGCAGGCCTCCTGGTTCTGTCTGACAAACATCAGGTTGGTTTATGAGCAGCCGCTCTGCTCGACACACACATGCATTATAACAGCATTCATGTTTCACAGCAGGCGGGATGTAATTATTCCAGCCGCCGCTCCCAGCAGCGCCGTCTTTCCAGGGGTCACAGTTCGCTCCCGATGCTCCTGCAGCCGCGTTCTTGGGTAAATTGTTTCGTCTCGGAGCTGACAGACGTTTCTTGGAGGATACGGAGGAGGCTGACGGAGGTCACCCTGATTTAGATTAGCTCTCCTGTGTCCCTGAAACAGACTCCGTCCTCTTGTTGGTTCCCAGTCTGATCGCTCTGTATGTGAAGGACAAACACCAGAATGGAGGTGGTTGTCCTCAACCTCACCGTCAGGAAAACCTGCAACTTTAACACGGAAAGGACTGATGGCAGGAATCAGCACAGGCTGGAAAAGTGATCTAAAGAAGATTTATTTTTTCCTTCCATCCATCATATTTCACCCATTCATCCATCAAATCCATCATCAATCAAACCATTATCATCCATCCATCATCATCATCCATCCTTCATCCAGCCATCCATTCATACATCCATCCATCCTCATCCATCCCTGCATCCATCAACTACCCATCATCACTCATCTATTATTCATCCATCATCCGTTATCATTCTTCATCCGTTCATTCTTCATCCATTCATCCATCTATGATCTATGAACTCACTAATTAATGATCCTATTTCACTTAATTTTTATTTAAATTTTTGCAACTTACACAGACATATACATACAAGCCTATATTCAGGCTGCCGCTCTATATGGTAAAGTTAAAAAAAGAACAAAACTTTGAAAGTATATACAACAAGTTAGGCTTACAAGTAAAGTAGGTCACATGGTTAAACATAAGTAGCTCACAAACATGAATATAGTTAGTAATTAAATAAGCAGCACCAATGGAATAAAAATTTAATAGAAAATAATAAGTAAATATAAAAAATTACAATAGAATTGGAATAGAATACAATGAAAGAAAGAAAAAAGAAAAAGAATTAATGATCCTATTTAATAGTTATTTAGTTTCTAACCAGACGATCCACATTCTTTAACCATTAAGAACAGAAACCTTTAAATCGTTTCCATATTAAAGCCAGGTGTGTTGCTGCAGCTCAGCTGCTGGAACCAAATGTTCTACAGCTCCCATAATAACGGGAGAACATTTGGCTAGAAAGAAACAAGCAGTTGGTTCCTTGGTTTTGGTTACTCTGTTTGAACTGAGGTGTCTATGTATGCAGCTCACCTCTCTGATCTAAGCCTGGGTTCCGCTAACCCGGACTAATGAGCTGGTTCTGTTTGTTTTCAGGCTCACGAGCGCTCAGAGAGCGAAGAGGTGACGTTTGTCACACAGCTGGTGAAGAAGCTCATGATCATCATCGCCCGGCCGGCCCGACTCCTGGAGTGTCTGGTAGGAAACGGGTCAAATCCGATTAGTTCTCTGCACCTTTCTCTCCTAAAAACTAAACAGACAAAAAAATGATTGTTTACATTTGATCAGATTGATAAATAGCTGAATCAGAGATGGCTGCCAGTTAAATATTGATGGGAGCAACGTTTCAGACTGGGCTAGTTTTCAGTTCTTGCTGTGTTGGATTCTGTGGTTCTATGCATAAATGGGTCCTGAAGAGGAACCGTCACTAACATAATGCAACACACTCATTAGGTGAGCTCACTGAGTTTTAATGTCATGCTGCTTATTTCAAATGTGAAGTAACCCCACTGAAATGTTTCAAAGTCTCTTTAAAACTCAAGGAGCTTTTCGTTAATTCTTGCAGCTGAGCGCCGATCACCAAAATCTGTTTCCTCCAATCAGCAATCACAGGATCAAATCCATACATTCTTTTACTGCTGTCTTATGTACAACGGCATTGTATTATTATTGTTAAAATTATAGGATTTGAAAAACTATCATGAACTGACCACCAACTGAGGCTGCGGAGACGACCTTTTTAAAATAAAAATTGAAGATAGAGTAAATTATGTTGAAAAAGAATGAAATACGGGATGCTCTTAGGAGGTTTGTGTGTGGATTTTAAAAAAGCCATGTTAATTTAGCACTAGGAGGACTATTTCATCATCCTACCTACAGCTTAGACACCAACCAGCAGTTGCCTTCTCTCCCCACTCTGCTGCACTGCCTGCTAGCAGGCTCCTCTGATCCCTCACTGTCATTCTTCTCCTAGAGACTAGCCTCGCCTAGCCATAGCCTCTTGCTCCTCATTCTCTTCTCCAGAGTGACGCTGTCCGACTCCTGCTCAGCAGTAGCCTCTCCCCTGCCCTTAGTGTTCAGTTTTCCCAGTGGACTTTTTCAACCTTTCGCCATGCTCCTTGGATCCTCCGCAGTTAGCCTACCTAGCCTCGGTTAGATGAATCCCCGGTGCTACTGCTAGTTCCAGGCCGCCGTCTCACCTTCCTTCTGTTGACCGTGTGATTCGTCCCTGTTTTGGGCACTCCAAGGGCAGGAGAAAGATGCAAGACCACTTACAGAAAAACTCATCAACAACAACATAATCTGCGCTTAAATCGGTGGTTTTCATAATGAAGCGTGGTCACTGATCGTAGCCGATCACCTGAAAATCGTCTGATTTCTAAGCACTACCAATTAACCGGTGCAAGTCTAAACAGAACCAGCTTCAGATCTGTTTCTCCTGCTATTATTTGCCCGTTTTTGGTTTTACCCAATTGAACCTTTTATCCTTTGGGTGGTTCCAATGTTCTCCACACGCATCTTTCACCCTTGGAAGGTTCTGGTGTCGTCTACCATGGGTTCTGACCCCCAGTTATTTTGGTGGATTCAGCTCCCCTGATCCATTTGTCCAGTCCAGCAGATTTCTCTTTCACTGGAACCACCTTGGGTGTGTTTGGGAATTGGACCAGTCTAGATGTTCTGCAAAAACCCAAAGACAGGCTTTAGCGTGACTTTTCTTCGACAGTGGAGACCTGTGGAGTGTTTTCACAGAGGTTAGAGTTTGTTGGAGCAGCTGGTTCATTATAGCTACTTTATGGTCAGAGGATCCTCTCTCATCTCTAGGATTTTAATACTACTTCTCTATAATCCTGACAATGAGCTCACAGGGAAGAAATACTTCTGAATCTGACAGGTTTCTTTGTATTTTCAGGATTATTAGGTCGGTTTTCCAGGTACCTCTGGAAACAGAGGAGAACATTGGCATGTAGTAGCCTAGTGTTCCCTGATCTGCAGAGGAAGACCTCCTGACCTCCCTCCTCTTCCTCCTCTACAGGAGTTTGACCCAGAGGAGTTCTACCATCTCCTGGAAGCGGCTGAAGGCCACGCCAAAGAAGGTCAGGGCATCAAGTCCGACATTCCGCGGTACATCATCAGCCAGCTGGGCCTCACAAGGGATCCTCTGGAGGGTAAGACCACCGGACCACGGTCGGATCATACCCAGGTGTTTTTTGGGTATTCTAACAGTTTCTGTCCCCAGAAATGACCCAGCTGAGCAGCTATGACAGCGGGAACCCAGAGACACCAGAGGCTGATGACGCAGCCGATGTGAGTTTACTGTCAGAACCAGATCAGTTGATGAGTTGGGATAAAGTCTGACGCTTCTGGTGCTGATCTCTCACTGATTGATTTCAGGGCCAAAGTTCCACCATCCCTGCTGCTCCACCTCAGTCCAGAACCAAAACTCCTCGAGAGGAAGACTTTGAGACCATCAAGCTGATCAGTAACGGAGCCTACGGGTATGGCAGCATCCAACCAGGTCAGCACCGGTCATCCCAGGATCTCCTCCTGACCAGTCTGTCTGTCCTGTCTCTGCAGGGCGGTGTATCTGGTGCGTCATAAGGAAACTCGGCAGCGATTCGCCATGAAAAAGATCAACAAGCAGAACCTCATCCTAAGGAACCAGATCCAGCAGGCCTTTGTGGAGCGAGACATCCTGACCTTTGCAGAGAACCCGTTTGTTGTCTCCATGTTCTGCTCCTTTGAGACCCGGAGGCACCTCTGCATGGTGATGGAGTATGTGGAGGGTAAGGAACCAGGACCTGGTGTGCTGGTCGTCAGGCTACCTGGTTTGGACCCGGTTTCTGTTCAGTGTTGAGACAAACAATGGCAAAACATTGCTTTTGCTGTAACTAACGCTGTAACCAATTTGTGAAAGACAGTAATGTGTTAGTCACAGAGATGGCAAAAGTACTCACTTTCCGTACTTGAGTAAAAGTACAGATACTTGTTAAAAAGTACTCTGGTAAAAGTGAAAGTACTGATTAAACTTCTTTACTCAAGTAAAAGTAACAAAGTACAGGCTTGTAAATTTACTTAAAGTATAAAAGTAAAAGTAGAAACCACTTTTTTCATGCCGTTGCCTACATTTTAAATGGATGTCTGCCAATAGGACTAGATCTCCGTTGTGTTCATTTTCAATCATCTCGTCGTCCATGCTACTATGCTAACGCCACCGCCACCAAGCTGCAATGATTTGCCGCGAATGAATACCGCCAAATCTGTCGATTCATCTTGTAGTGGTGCGTCAAATGCAACGCAGATTCCCATCCAATTAGATTGAATTTGGTATTGATGAAGTGAAAAATAATAACGGTAACTCCATTGAAATGATTCAAAACTAAAGTACCGAGCCAATTTTTTTAAATGTAAGGAGTAGAAAGTACAGATATTTGTGTAAAAATGTAAAGAGTAGAAGTAAAAAGTCGCCATAAAAATAAGTAGTAAAGTAAAGTAAAAATATCAGAAAAATCTACTTGAGTACAGTAACGAAGTATTTGTACTTCGTTACTTCCCATCTCTGGTTAGTCATTACTATGGTTTAAACATATTTGGTATACGTTTCTTAACGTGTATAAATAAGGACTACAGTCAAGTGTAAATGCTCTGAGTCAATGATTTGATTATGTTATAAACTTAGTTTAGAAGTTGTGATCTAAAGAGGCTCCTCACATCAGCTTAACACTGAAATCCTGCCTTTAATCAACATCCTGGGATCATTCAGTCCTGCTCCTGTTTTTCTTTTCTGGAATATTGAAACCATGTTCAATTCTATGTAAATTTACATTTTGATGAATAGCTTGAAAAGCATCATTTTTTTCTTTTATGGTAAACAGGAAACATCATCACATCTACACAATCATATTGCAACTCACTTGTCAAACCACACACACCAAAATAATACAGATTAGTTTTCAATGTTTTTAGACTTTAAATTAATAATTAATTCATTAATTGATAACAAACTCCTTAGCTTCCATGGTTGAACCTCTAGTTGTATTCAGAGTTCTAATAACAACTAAGTTTTCAAAATTCCCTGACACTTTAGATCATAAAAAGTAACTACATATTTACCTTGGATACTAAACAAGTTACTTTGAGTAGTAACTGAGTTACAGAATTTTGGAGAAATAACTATAACTAGTTAGTTTTTTAATTAACTTGCCCAACACTGGTTCTGTTCTGTTTGTAGAGCGATTTAATGATGAAGCGTCAGCTGCCTGATTCCTATGGCAACTAAACTTTTCATTATATTCCAGGAAAGAAATATCCTGATAAATTATTGAACCTGGGAAGTTCTGAAATATTTTAATAAAATTTTTTATAAATGAATGTATTCTAACTGGGTTTGGGCTACTGGTCTTGCTTGGACCTATGATGGTTCTGACCCAGGAAAATGTTCAGAACCTTCAGGGTCTGAACTCTACAGGTTTCCCCCTGCTAACTTCAGATTGGTTCTGGAGAACCCGGACCTGATGGTTCTGTTTTACCTCTGCTGAAACTTGCATGTTTGGGTCCCAGTAAGTTCTGATCCAGTTTAGAAATCCTAATTTTCACACAGGGACGTGGTTGTTCTAGCCGTATTTTAGGCTCCACCTCCAATCCCACCTAAAGGTGGGAATCACCATAGCAACCAGTGACCCCACAGACTTGTTTCTGTGACGGTACCGTGGTAAATCTGACTTACCCGTGGTTCTGGTCCTGCTGTCCAGGTGGGGACTGCGCCACCCTGCTGAAGAACATACGGGCGCTGCCCGTGGACATGGCTCGGATGTACTTCGCTGAGACCGTCCTGGCCCTGGAGTACCTTCACAACTACGGCATCGTCCACCGAGACCTCAAACCCGACAAGTAGGACCAGAGTTTCCTCTGCTTTGCACGTTCTGTTGGGTCCAGATGGGCTGTAGGTGAGATGTTTCTCTCCATCTTGTCCTCAGTCTGCTAATCACTTCTCTGGGACACATCAAGTTGACGGACTTCGGGCTCTCCAAGATCGGCCTGATGAGTCTGACCACCAACCTGTATGAAGGCCACATAGAAAAGGACACCAGGGAGTTCCTGGACAAACAGGTACATCCTCCTTCAGCTCCAGCCCAGTGGCCCGCTTCTGCTGGTTTCTTAATGTTCTCCGCTCTGTGCTGCTACCTGTCTGCAGGTGTGCGGCACCCCGGAGTACATCGCCCCGGAGGTGATCCTGCGTCAGGGCTATGGAAAGCCGGTGGACTGGTGGGCCATGGGGGTCATCCTGTATGAGTTCCTGGTGGGCTGCGCTCCGTTCTTTGGAGACACCCCTGAGGAGCTGTTTGGTCAGGTGATCAGCGGTGAGTTTCTGCTGTAGATGCAGGAAGTAAACGCTTGTATCTGGTCAGCCATGTTGGGCTGAGCCCCTCCCTGCACCAATGAACACCTGTGGTTCTGATCAGACAGCCAAGTCTCTTGGTTCTGTGGGAATCAGGTGACCAAATGATGATCAGAATGATCTCGAAGATCAGGATCCTCTGTAGAGTCACTGAAAAGTTCTGAGCAAACAGAACAAAACAAGTAAATGAAAGTTGGTAGAACATATGAAAGTTCACCAGTCCAGCTGAGACTGGGCCGATACAGAGAGTTAGATGTAGAGCTGCTGATCTTCCGTCAGAGTTCTCCTTCTGGTCAGTCAGACGCCACATGAGGCAGAAACCCAGCGTTCAGTACAAACCAGAATAAAGGTTTTAAGACCTGTTTCAATCTCTGGGTGGATCAGAAATGGCAGTAGTTTCCATCCAGTTTTTTTTGCTGTAGAGATGTTCACGTGATTGATTATCTCCATCCTGTTCATGCTTCTTGGTCCTCTGACTGCCTCCCTGTTCTCTATCAGATGAGATCATTTGGCCGGAGGGCGACGAAGCGCTGCCTCAGGACGCTGAGGACCTCATCACACAGCTGCTCCGACAAAACCCCCTGGAGAGGCTCGGAACAGGTACCAGACCCGCTCAGCCTCAGACTGAATGACCTGTCTGATGGGTGTGTCCAGTAGTTTAGTGCTGAGGACTGTTTCCTTTGAGTCATCAGCCACCAGCTCTCTGAGTAAAAGAAGGAAGACTGGACCCCTGGAACTGGGTTTAGCCCAATGCTAACAGGCCAGAATCCAAACCTGATCCAATTCAGCGAAGGCCCAGTCTAATCCAGAACCTCCTGTGTCTGTTGGTCAGGAGGAGCCTTCGAGGTGAAGCAACACCCATTCTTCAGCGAGCTGGACTGGAACGGGCTGCTGAGGCAGAAGGCAGAGTTCATCCCTCAGCTGGAGTCAGAGGACGACACCAGCTACTTTGACAGTAGGTTCCAGAACCCCCCAAACCCCCACCCCACAGTTTCTGTGTGGAGCTCAGAAACTAAAGCTGCCTCTGTTTTTGGCCCTCAGCTCGATCGGACCGGTACCACCACATGGATTCAGAGGACGAAGATGACACCAACGATGATGAGCATGTGGAGCTTCGACAGTTCTCCTCCTGCTCTCCTCGCTTCAGCAAGGTACAAATGGATTCAAGTCACATCGGCTCCCCTTCTGAAACCCGATTGGAAAACCTGCTAGGATTGGTTTTGGGTCGGCTGTGATGGGACAGAATTACGTGTTTCTGCAGGTGTACAGCAGCATGGAGCGTCTGTCTCTCCATGAGGAGAAGAGGACTCCTCCTCCCACCAAGCGCAGCCTGAGTGAGGAGGGAGGAGATCGCATCGACAGCCTGAGCGGACTCAAATCCCGGGATCGGTCCTGGCTGGTCGGATCCCCAGAGATGTGAGTTTATGGCTTCCTAGACTCTTAGAGCAAACTGTAGAAGTGTCTGACGGTCCTGTTCTCCCAGTCTGAGGAAGCGGCTGTCTGTCTCTGAGTCCTCCCACACGGAGAGCGACTCCAGTCCGCCTCTGACGGTCAGGAGACGCTGCTGTTCTGCCATCATAGAGATGCCGCGCTTTGCTATCTCGGCCGAGGAGGAGGCAAGTCCAGGTACGTAGACTGAACCACTGAACGGAAATATATAAACTGTAGCTTCTGATGAAGAACAAAACTTCAGTTGTTCTTTACTCCACATTTGGAAACTCATCACAATAAAAGGCTTCTGTTAGCTAGCTGAAGCTAATCTTGGGTTTATTAGCTATTTCAGGTGTTGTTAAAGAAAATGTGTCAGAGACCAGTATACTATGCAAAAACAACTGCTAATGTTGCTAAAGCTACATCCATAGAAATACACACTGGTCAGATTATCCAGCTTGACCTCATGAGAACAGAAAGGTGTTTTAAAGCCATCCAAAAGTGCTATCTGTCTTTTTGTTGAGAAGAGAATTTCTGTAAGTTAAGTAAAATACCAGCTTATGACTCCTTTAAACATCACTGCTATCAAATAAAATTAGAAACTCTTCCAGGCTGAGAGAATCTTCAGGAAGTCTGGAGATCAGCTTCCTGAAGAGAATAACCTGCTGCTCCGTCTGATTGATCCATCAGGGGGTGCTGGCAGCAGGAAAAGTACAGGCCTGATTGGTCCTAACGCAGTGAGGGGCCCGCGCTCCGAGGATCTCCCGCTCACCATCCCAGAGCTCCCAGTGGAGCGGGAGCTGAAGCTGGACGAGTCGCCCACAACGCCGAGCTCCACCAGCAGCCAGCTGAGCAAGTCCACACTAACACGTCAGTTCATACACACCTAATCCTAATCCCCGACCCAAGAGCAGACCTTTGTTTCTTTTGGGACCACTCCAAAGGGCCCCACAATGTTGCATGTTCCGGGAACTGTCCCCACAAAGTACTAAATCCAGGCAACACACCCAGCTGCGAAGCTTAGGTCTCCAGCTGCTGCAGCGAGGCTCTCAGGGCTGAGGCAGCTTCCTCCGTCTGCAAATGGTGGATACAAAGATTTTTTGTTGTGGGGGTGCAGCCGTCCCACCTCAGAATCACAGCCACTCTGGGTGGGTTTTGTTACAAGCTCTCCAGAAGCAACGATGGCTGTGATGATCAGATGTTCTCATGGTTTAATCAAATTAATCAAAGTATTAATGTGTCATAAATTTCAGAAAACTTTGTTTTTCTGCCAAATTGCTGAAAAGATCCAGATTGATTGACTGATAAACTGACTCTTTTCAGCGGGCAGCTCCGGGGACGTGTGCGAACGAACAAACGGCGGCGGGGCACCTAAACCAGATGCTGACTCTCCGTCTACGCCGAAGGCCATCAGCGACCTTGCGGCTCGCAGGGCGCGCCATCGCCTAATGTCTGGAGATGCAGACAAACACGCAGCAAGCTCATGCTCGCGGCCGTTCACCAAAGTCATCAAGTCGGCCTCGGCAAATACTCTGTCACTGGTGATCCCTGGAGGTCGGTGCGATTTCTAGCTGCAGGAACGGAAAGCTCTCTGTGCCATGAAGCTCTGCTGACTCGTTTTTATCTGACTGTAGATCATCACGGAGCGTCCCCATTGGCCAGCCCCATGTCTCCTCACTCGCTTTCGTCCAACCCGTCGTCCCGGGACTCTTCGCCGAGCCGTGACCTGTCTCCAGCCGTGACCAACATCAAACCAGCCATCGTCATCCACCGAGCGGGAAAGAAGTACGGCTTCACCCTGAGAGCCATCCGGGTCTACATGGGAGACAGCAACATCTACACCGTACAGCACATGGTCTGGGTGAGTTCCAGAACCGACCCGAGAGGTTCCGACACCCCATGTTCCACATAAGTTTTTTATCAAATGTAAGAATCTGGTTAAAAATCATCCAGTCCTGCCCCCCGGCCTCCAACACCTCCACCCTCCGGTTGTTTTCTACATGCAGCTCTGACCCAGTTAGTATTGTTCTTTAGAACCAGCAAAAAAAAGCAACTAATCTGGAGTTTAAAGTTTCAGAACTTCCAAGCTGCTATCCCAGAACAGCATGAATTATGATCTTTAGATTTAGAGGCTGTTTAGTTTTAAAACTTTAGGGTTCAATTTCTAGAACCTACAGGTTGTGTTTAAACAATTTCAGGAGGCTGGGTGATTAATATTCTGTTTATGAAGATTTCCTTTTTGGAAAATCTGCATTTTATCCACCAATTGTTTCCCATCGCTCAGAGAAATGACAGTTCATTACTTTGTATTTATTAGTAATGTCTCCTCATAACTGATAACCTAGCTAGTGCTAACGTTTAACTGGTTCTTTGCCTTTATATTAATGTCACCTCCCAGAGGAAATGATTGAAATTAAAGTTAGTATTAGAAAGCAGTGTTTGTTATTCTTCATTATAAAACTTCAGGGGAAAATATTTAATAGATTTAATTTGGAGATCTGATTTTTAAAGCATATTGTCCAGCCTTAGTGTAGAAGTTAATCATCTGGTAGTCATACAGTATTTTTAATGAGCTTAAAGGATTCGTTCCTAAACCTTGAGTGATATCATATCCTGTGGTTTAAAGGCGTTTTGAAATAATTTCCCCTTAAGGTGAAAATCATTTGACTGGATCCCACAGGTTACTCAGATGAAGCTTACAAGGAAGGTACCCTGAACCCGCCTGGCACTGTCTCCTTTATGAGTGTGGGATGACTCACTGGGAGTTCTGGTGATTGTGTGTAAATCTCAGAAGTCCACCTTAAAGTAGCTGGTTTCTGATGAGGCTCCCTGTAAATACAGGTAGTTACCTGGTTGGGACACTATCACCATCACAGTTAGGTTGATTATCCAGAATGTTTGAGCTTCTTGGTGTCTTATAATCTGGTATTAATGATTAACCATTGCTGGGTCGCCATCTGCAAGACTTGGCAGTAAAGAAAAACACCTCCCAGGCTGAGTTTGTCCTGTTATCCTCCCTCTGATCTTCCATTTCTCCTTTCATTCTCAGCATGTGGAGGAGGGGGGTCCGGCACACGAGGCGGGGCTGAGGAAGGGCGATCTGATCACCCATGTAAACGGCGAGCCAGTCCACGGTCTAGTTCACACTGAGGTGGTGGAGCTCATACTGAAGGTAAAACCCTAAACCTTTACTAGGGTGATGAGAATAATGAGACCAAACACTGAAACTACCACATGTCGTCCCTCAGAGCGGAGCCAAAGTCTCAATCTCTGCCACGCCGTTTGAAAACACGTCCATCAAAGTCGGTCCCGCCCGCAAGACAACGCACAAGTCCAAGATGGCGAGACGCAACAAGAAAACGAAGAACAAGGAGGGGCAGGACAGGTAGCGCTCACTCTGGAGTAACTACTTTTATTATTTTTATAAGAACCACCATCAGTCTGTAGAACCACCATCAGTCTGTAGAACCACCATCAGTCTGTAGAACCACCATCAGTCTGTAGAACCACCATCAGTCTGTAGGACCACCATCAGTCAGTCTGTAGGATTACCATCAGTCTGAAGAACCACTATCAGTCTGTAGAACCACCATCGGTCTGTAGAACCACCATCAGCCTGTAGGACCACCATCAGCCTGTAGGACCACCATCAGTCAGTCTGTAGGATTACCATCAGTCTGAAGAACCACCATCAGTCTGTAGAACCACCATCGGTCTGTAGAACCACCATCGGTCTGTAGAACCACCATCAGTCTGTAGGACCACCATCAGTCAGTCTGTAGTATTACCATCAGTCTGAAGAACCACCATCAGTCTGTAGAACCACCATCGGTCTGTAGAACCACCATCGGTCTGTAGAACCACCATCGGTCTGTAGAACCACCATCGGTCTGTAGAACCACCATCAGTCTGTAGGATCACCATCAGTCTGTAGAACCACCATCAGTCTATAGAACCACCATTGGTCTGTAGGACCACCATCAGTCTGTAGAACCACCATCAGTCTGTAGGACCACCATCAGTCTGTAGAACCACCATCAGTCTGTAGGACCACCATCAGTCTGTAGAACCACCATCAGTCTGTAGGACCACCATCAGTCTGTAGGACCACCATCAGTCTGTAGAACCACCATCAGTCTGTAGGATCACCATCAGTCTGTAGAACCACCATCAGTCTGTAGAACCACCATCAGTCTGTAGAACCACCATCAGTCTGTAGGATCACTATCAGTCTGTAGAACCACCATCAGTCTGTAGGACCACCATCAGTCAGTCTGTAGAACCACCATCAGTCTGTAGAACCACCATCAGTCTGTAGGATCACCATCAGTCTGTAGAACCACCATCAGTCTGTAGGATCACCATCAGTCTGTAGAACCACCATCAGTCTGTAGAACCACCATCAGTCTGTAGAACCACCATCAGTCTGTAGAACCACCATCAGTCTGTAGGATCACTATCAGTCTGTAGAACCACCATCAGTCTGTAGGACCACCATCAGTCAGTCTGTAGAACCACCATCAGTCTGTAGAACCACCATCAGTCTGTAGGATCACCATCAGTCTGTAGAACCACCATCAGTCTGTAGAACCACCATCAGTCTGTAGAACCACCATCAGTCTGTAGAACCACCATCAGTCTGTAGAACCACCATCAGTCTGTAGGATCACTATCAGTCTGTAGAACCACCATCAGTCTGTAGGACCACCATCAGTCAGTCTGTAGAACCACCATCAGTCTGTAGAACCACCATCAGTCTGTAGGATCACCATCAGTCTGTAGAACCACCATCAGTCTGTAGAACCACCATCAGTCTGTAGAACCACCATCAGTCTGTAGGATCACTATCAGTCTGTAGAACCACCATCAGTCTGTAGGACCACCATCAGTCAGTCTGTAGAACCACCATCAGTCTGTAGAACCACCATCAGTCTGTAGGATCACCATCAGTCTGTAGAACCACCATCAGTCTGTAGAACCACCATCAGTCTGTAGAACCACCATCAGTCTGTAGAACCACCATCAGTCTGTAGAACCACTATAGGTCTGTAGAACAGGCTTCATTGGTTTCTCACACAGACGTGTTTCTTTTAGTTTAATGTTTGGTATCATTGGTCCGGTCCGGTCCAATGGTCCAGCACAACAAAGCAGTTGATTCAGTTTTTTTTTTAGTTTTTCCAAAAACACTAGAGATCTGGTTTTTTTCTCTTTAACATGTTTTTTAGTCCGCTCTCATCTTTAACATGGCCAGGTCTGAGTATTTAGTTAACCTGAATCACAGAGGTCCAGGAACCGGACCTGGTGGGACCCTTCTGTTAATGAGCCGTTACTGTCCTGCAGCAGCAAGAAGAAGACGTCTCTGTTCAGGAAGATCACCAAGCAGGCGTCCCTCCTCCATACCAGCCGCAGTCTGTCTTCCTTGAACCGCTCGCTGTCTTCAGGGGAGAGCGGCCCCGGCTCACCCACTCATAACCTGTCGCCACGGAGCCCCACGCAGGGGTACCGGTCCACACCAGACTCTGCTCATTCAGGTGACTCACACAGCCCTGATGGTAGAACATCAGCATCAGATAGAAAGTTCTGGATAAATGACAGAACCTGTTCTTTAGATGCTGAACTTAACAGAGTGAGTTTTTTTTTCTGTTTCTTTGTTTCTTTTCCCACCAGTTGGAGGAACATCGTCCCAGAGCAGCTCTCCCAGCTCCAGCGTTCCCAACTCCCCGGCCAGCTCCGGCCACATCCGCCCCAGCTCCCTGCACGGCCTCGCCCCCAAGCTCCAGCGCCAGTACCGCTCTCCCCGTCGCAAGTCTGCGGGTAACATCCCCCTCTCCCCCTTGGCCCGGACACCGTCCCCCACCCCCCAGAGCAGCTCCCCCCCGCGCTCTCCGTCTCCCCTCCCTAATCACGCCATGGGGCAGCCCTTCCCAGTGAAGCTCCATTCCTCCCCTCCGCTGGTCAGACAGATATCGAGGCCTAAGAGCGCCGAGCCTCCTCGCTCCCCGCTCCTCAAGAGGGTGCAGTCGGCTGAGAAACTCGCCCCATTACTATCCAGCTCGCCTTCTTCTCCTGCCGCAGTGGGCGGAGCATCGGGAGCAACGGCGGGAAGCAGGAAGCACAGCCTGGACATCTCCCATTCGGAGTTTAAGAAAGAGATTCTGCAAAGGGAGCCAAGCTTCCAGAGCCTTCAGGTAAAGATGGAAGATGTTCTGTTTGGACGGATGGGGAGGAGGTCCATCCTGACGTTCTGTTGACCCTTCTGTCTTTGTCCCTCAGGAGTCGGCCAGCGAGGGGCTGCTGTCCTCCGCGGGCCGCGGCCTGGAGAAGGGAGGACTTCATCCAGGCAGGAAACTGGGGCGTCAGGAAGGCGACCAGGTGACCGGATCCCTCGGTCTGACCCATGGGAAGAGCAAGCTGAAGGACAAGCTGTCGGCCATCCGGCAGGACCGTGCCGAGAGGCGTGAGTCGCTGCAGAAACAGGACGCCATCCACGAAGTGGACTCCTCAGAGGACGAGACGGACGAAGGCTCAGAGGACAGCCAGGACGGACGCAGGGCAGCCTCCTTCGCACCTCCCCCCCTGCTGAGACCCACCTCTGTGAGGACGGGTCCTGGCGGGACACTGCCATCCCTTTGCCTCGCTCCCTGCACCCCCCACGCCACCTTCAGCCACATGGGGCCACCCCCCGCCCCTCTGTCCTCAGCTGGAAGTCCGCTCTCATCTGTGGAGGAGGCGAACGAACCGGAGCGGAAGCTTCCAGAGCCGACACAGGTCTCCTTCTCCACCCCCGGCAGCGCTTTCATATCCGTCACCAAGCCAACCCCGCAACCAGACCAGCAGAACCCCCCAGAAACCCGGGAGCCCCCCCGCGCCTCCTGCTCCTCCCCTGGCATCCCTAAAGAGAAGAAGGAGGCGGATAACCGCAGGCTGTGTGCAGCTGCTGGTCAGAACAGCCCAACCTCAGCAGCCTCCACGCCCCCCCAGGGTCCCCTGGCCCCGCCCACTGAGAGCGGCATGGAGCGGGTTGTGTCCCAACTCGCCACGGTAGCAAAGAGCGTCCTGGGTCCGGTCAAACTCACCTCGTCTTCAGACAAATCCTCAAAGGAGCAGAAGCCAGCCCCCCAATCCCCCAGCAGACTGAGGACAGACCGCTCTGCTTCTTCAACCAAACCCCCCTCCCAGAGAGACTCTGCAGCACCACAGTCCTGCAGGGATGCACCGGAGCGGCCCACGCCAAGAGCCGCTACGGCGCCTGAGCCCCCGCTCCGAAGGCCCGACCCCCCGACCACCACTGCCAGCGCTGCTGCGGTCTCACAGCACGGCAAAGCCTCCAACAGGAAGACGTAGCAGCAGAATCCCTCGCCCCGTTCTCAGCTGCGCCTTCAATTTCACGCTTATCTGGTACTTTTAGTGGACTTTTTATGTCAATTTCCTCTTCCTGCTTTCAGCCAAAATGACACGTGAGGGGCTGCAAATCCAAACACTGGCTGGTCCCAAAAAGTGATGCCGATCCATTTCCAGCCGTCTGCTTGTACAGAACCACCCGGTAGTTGCAAAGGATCCAAAGGGTCACAGCATCAGGTCCAACTTTGGATCATTAGTGACGGTACGACGCATCAGTCAGAACCGGTTTAAATCCTAAACATCAACAAACGATGAAAATAAAGAAAGCTGAAGGTTTACGGTTTGACCTCCAACTGGTGGATCATTAAGCAAATATTTCCTCACAGAGTAGAAGGGGAAAAATGAGGTCCTGAAAAGCATCTCTAAGGTTTGAGTTAAGGCAGAAAGCGCTTGGCTGCATATCGTATCTTTAGCGGCACTATTGGTTTAAAACAGTCATGGCCACCAGGGGGCGACATCTGTGGATACAGCAATAAATTGGTGTTAAAAACTAGGAAGTAGTTTATTTTAGTTAGCATAAAATGCTAAAAATCAGAATGAAAATCTTCCATGGAAAAGGTTGAACAGAGAATAGTTCTTGGAGCTTGCTGCCACAGCGCCACCTGGTGAACAGTCTTCACTGCCTTAGTTTTAACGCAAACATCACCTGAGGTGGATCTATAACCTGTAAGCCTGTGTTTTAAGCGCCACCTAGAGGTGGAACCTCGGGTCGGACCTTCTGAACCGCCTGTTTAGTTTTCAGCCCCTTTTTTCATTTGGACCAACTTGCTGTGTTTTAGCCTCTAATCCTGTGAAGTTCTCACACTTTGATCTCTGTCCGTCTGTCTGTGTGTCTGTCTGTCTGTGCGGGCGTCACTGCATGGTGTCCTCTCTCTATAGGAGCGTTTAGAGCTGTTTTATACCCTCTGTGTGGTTTAGGGGAAACTTTCTGACCCTCTCCATGTTTGAATGCTTCGGCTTCATCAAACGGATCTCAGATCTATCAGATTTGGTTTGGACCTAACGACGGTTCTGATATGTCGTAATTTAGTTGGGTTGGTTTTCTTCATAAAGCAGGATGGAGATCAGGATGTCCTCTGTTTACATGTCCTTCATCTCTTCCAGCGGCTTTATTGTGCTGTTAACATCACAGCTCCCCCTGTAGGCCGGCTCTGTCGCTACATGAAAAGAAATAGATGTTTTTTTTTATTCTTCACGGTGATCAGCCACATTTCCTCCATGTGCCACTGCTCAGAGACAGAACCAAGCCGAGCTGGGACGAAGCAACAGAACGGACCTGGAGCAGCGCCAGGCCACTCAGGCTGATCTAAGCCAATATTTCCTGCAGAGTCAGGATTCAGAGCTGGATCTGCTCATGTGCCCAAAGCACTGGAAGCACTTTGTCCTGCAGAACATTTGCTCATATTTTATAGTAAAACCTTTATTAATCCAAAGGATTTACATTATCTAAACATCAATTAAATCTGTATATCTGGTCTGTTTGCATTAAATGAAATAACCTTCCTGCTCTGAGTTTTTTCTCCCTTATATTGGGTCAGATCACACAGTAAAAGCAGAACTGACCAGTGTCCTGCAGCTGAGTGGGGATGGCTGTTCTGATCGCTGCTCTGCAGCCCTGGATAGAACCAGAACCTGCAGCTGCAGAATAAAAGTTGATGGTTTTCTGCAGGATTATGAGGCTTTTCCTCACGCTATTCTTTTATTACGCAAACAGCTGCAAACTTATCAGTTCCTACTGAGGAACAAGAGTCAGACTGAACTGAACATCATGTGCTTTAGAACCAGATCAGAACCAAAGAAGCTGATTTCAGATAAGCTGAGAGATGGAACCGGTTCGTTTGTTTTAGCCTCTGCAGCCGATCCAGATCGCAGAGACCCGGGTTCTGCAGACAAACCCGTCCCTCTGGGCTCAGTCTCAGCAGCTGCAGACCTCCAGACTAGAAGCTGTCCAGGTTTCGTCTCAGGCTCGATGTTTCTGTCGCTGAGGAGCTGCTGCCGGCCTCCGACTCTGAGCATGGAGGTTCTGACGGGCCACGTGTTTGGAATGACGATGCCAACATCACAAACGGGTTTCAGAGCCTTCAGCAAACATTCAAAGACTTTGACTAATAGGAAGCTTGGAGACGAAACCAGTGCAATATCTTTTATTTTCTGATGTGGTCAAAAGCATGTTGTTGTCAATCGTACCTTACAACAATAATAAAGTTTTTTTTATCAACATGTTCATCATCAGTTCATTCATTGCTCGGCTGATGTAGACCTCCTGTCTGCAGGTGCAGCTTTAATTATTCACCCCTGGTAGGTTTACATTCAGTTATTTCTCTGTCCAGGAAGGTCGATTGTGGTTTGAAGCAGGTTCTGAAGGTTCCTGCCAGAAAGAAGACGTCCTCTTAGCTTGTTTTTCAGGAGACCAGCTGCAGATCCCTCCTCTCCTGATGGGATGTTAAAGTCTCCTCTGTTTGATTCCCAGCCGCTCGTTCTCATCAGGTCCTGCTGCACCGCCTTAGAGGAGGAGGAGGAGCGGTGGAAAATTATCCGTAAACTGGTTCTCTCTGCAGCTCTGGGTTGTTTTGATCCAGACGGCCTCATCCCACACAGACTGTGGGTTTGCAGCATGGAGGGTCCCAATGGGCCTTCAGATCAGTCTGAGGGGACATCTTCAGCCGTGCATTTACAGAAGCATGTCTGCAGCGCTTTGAGAGCTAAAGAACCTTCCATCACTGGGCTGAAGGGGTCAGAGGTCACTGTCTGGTTTACACTCCAGCTTTCAGGGGTAATTGCCCCCCCCCCCCCCCCCTCCTCCTTCTAAAGTGAAGGCTCCTCAGGAGGTCCTGTGGGGAACGGGGACCCCCGATGGAGGAGCTCTGACAACCGCCGTCCTCACATGGAGGCTGAGTGGAGAAGCGGTGACAGGCGAGCGGCACTGGATGATGAATGGTCCACGCCGTGTGGCTCTGACACTGCTCTACACGAACAAAGTCATTTCAGACTGCAGGGAGGAAGAAGAAGAGGAGGAGGAAGAGGAGGTCGGAACAACAATCTGTCTGCAGTGCTCTTTGCATTTATATTATTTAGTGTCTAATCAAATAATTCATGGTCTGTCATAAATTGTTCTATGAACAAACAGAACAACAGATCCATTCATGGTCAAACAGCTACTGTACCTCTGCACATATAGAACAAATCTATTAAAAATAATTGAACTCTAAACATTTTCAGTTAAAAACGAACCTAATAAAACTAAACGTCTGCAGAAGAAAAGATTAATGAAAATTGTTGAAAATCATAAAATCAAGTTCCAGTTTAGTTTTATGTTTGGGAGCCAAGGTTTATAGTGAAGAGATCAGAATGTGTTACTGTAGATTGGCTTTAAAATCATTTATAGCAACTGGATGCAGATTAAACACTTTAGTACAATATCTTAAAGATTGATTTTTGATATAAGACATCAATAAAAATTATAATGAGTCTTAATTTCATTTGATTATTCTGTGGAACTGAAAAGGGGTCAGGAGCCCATAAACTGGCAGAGGAACCTGTTACTAGCTCTGCTTTATTTTAGGCTAAAATCACTAAGGACTCTTTATCCAAAGTGTATGCGAAATCTCCATGATCAGGTCTGTCTGAATAGTGCTGGCATTAAGGAAGGAAGGGAGAGGAAGCAGGATGGAGCAGAGGGAGCTATAATATTTCACTAAATCCTTTGCCTGGCAGGGCCTATAGGTGCGGCCCACCTCATTGAATCAAATAAAAATACATCATAATAAACATGCTAATGTCCACAACTTGATATGTTTTAGTTCTTCTCCAGAGGACTGGAGCTCCAACCAATGAGAGTTAATGAAAGGTATGAACTAGGAACAGGAGGTAGGAGCTGGGCGAGTGTTGGCCTAGTGGTTAGAGCAGTGCCCTTGTGCTCTGAGAAGGTTCAAATTACCCAGTTTGATCTCTACAGCCTGCACTCTGGGTCCTTGAGCAAGACCATTAACCCCACACTGCTCCCCGGGCACCGCACAGTGGCAGGCAACTGCTCCATAAGGGGATGGGTTAAATGCAGAATGAATTTCTCCAGTGTGAGATCAATAAAGTTCAGTTTAGGAACTGAAGGTAGGAGCAACAGCTGGGAATCAGCTTTAGACAAAGGAGCCAATCACAGGGCTCCTTTCCAGAATGGAGCACAAAGTTTGCGAAAAACGTTAAGAATAACTAAAAGCATGTTAGCATCTGGTGAAAGAAAACTTCCCCTGTCATTTTCAGACATTTTATTACCAGTTATCTTTATTCTGAGGAAGACGAAGGGTCATAGAGTCAATGCAAGGAGGAAAAACCTTCTGGCTGGTTCTCTGTGACCACTGGAAGGAGCTGCTGCTTCATGTTTCAGCCTCAAAACCGGAGAACCAAACCTCTGTCCTCTGGAGAACAGGGCCTGATTGAAGTGGTTCTGTGAAACACCTGATGTCTAATTACATTAAATTAAATTAATGGAAAAAATCTAAATCTGGATAAGTAATTTTTTCTTAAAATAAGTCCATTTGTTCTTGGATTGAGGAGGTATAAGAGACATTTTGCCAATGGAACAAGACAATTGAAACTTAAACTAGGAAAACACATTAGCATTGTCTTATTTCAAGTGCATATTATCTAATTATCTTATTTCAAGAGTAAAAATACTGATTCCATTGGAAAATATCTCATTTACTTACTCAAATTAAGGGTAAATACACTTAATTTAAGACATTTTTACTTATTTCTAGATTGTTTTTCCAGTGCAGACTGGGAGCTGAAAGGGTCATTTCTGATCCCTGAAGAAATGAGGTGCTGGGCCACTCACCGCCCCATTATCCTAAAGAAGGATGGATTAAAGGCAGACCTGCTTTTTATGGAAAAACAAATCTGAATTTTTTTTTCTACTTTGGATAAATTGGATAAAACAATACAACTTTATACAAAGAAATGTAGTTTCCGTGCAGCTTCCAGGTTTCATCTCATCAGAGAGTTAGTTGTCTTA